ATCTCACTTAGTATCTTTTGCTCTTCTCTTCTCTTCTTCTTGCAATGCGCTCGAGCGCATATTCCCGATTGCGAGGCGTTCGAAATGATCAAGGGAGCATCAATTTACACATCGACCTTGCTGACTGCCTTTCACTCTCTCTTTTGGAAAGAAAAAAAAAATTGCTGACGCATTCTGTCCAATTCAACTTATTGTATATTGCAGCCGAAGCTTCTCTTTTCGATCCCCGCTAGAAGACATATCTAGATGTAGGACGACGTATCGTTATAACGTTTCGACGATGTGGGTAATGTTTCGGAACGATGGTGTTGGGTCAGGCTTGGTGATGCAGTTGGTTTGATTCTAAGGCGTTATGGGATACGTATACGTTGGTCCGGTTTGCTACGAGCAGTTGGATGTCTAGATGAGCAACGTACAATAGAAGCATGGGTGTTGGACAAGCTAAAACGATCGGTTGTTGTATGACCGAAGACACGAATAGGTCAATCGAGTAGGCATAACGAGTAACCTGGACTACGATAACTTCGGATCGCTATGTGTAGAGGTGATGTTGGCGGAGGCGTATGGCTGTCGAAGAAAGACATGTGAGGTCGGATCGTTTGCAGTCCTGCATGAGGAGACAAGTTGACTGCGATATCCGCTACCGGAAGCTATAGAACAGCCCCGGCGCATTACTTGATCTAGCTAGCGCAGTACTATTGTTCAGGGAAAAGGAGGGTACGATCGTGCGTCTCCAAGCGTCTACCACATCATTAGTGTCGTTAGCGGCTCGCTGTCTGCAAGCCAACAGTGTTTCTTTTCGCAAAGCTGTGTTCTTTCTCCAGAAGCGGTGTTGTACATCACAGGGCTATCACTTACTCGCTCCGGCAGCGACCAGCAAACGTCATGGACGTAGGGGCCACGGAAAGAAACCAATACCGCCGCTGGTCAAGATAAGAAACTTACCGTTCACTTGTCATTCAAGCTCTCTTCATGCGTCGCATCCCGGAATGCGAAGGGCTTGAAACACAGGAGGAAATGATGCACTAGTCATGAAGACAGGCGATGGCTTGGCGTACAAGCTCGTTCCATAGACCTACTTCAACTCAACCACCTTCTGAGGTTCAGACCGCATATTTAGTACTGCAAACCGTTTAAAGGCAAAGCCACGGATCATACCTCGGGCACGAGAAGGTGTCGAGTAGTAAGTAACATGGTTGCCCGACGAAGCCAGCCTCATGTGCCCTCACGAAATAACTAGCGAGTGCGTACATTGTTCACAGCAGTCTTGACTCATCATCTCCTAGTACCAACAGGCTGACAGTATCTCATCGACACGCGACAGCCCTCAGCGCTGATGGTGTGCATACACTGACCGCTCATAGCTAGCACGTCAACTTTGTATGTGGAGTCCAATTTTTCTTGCTGGGGAACACAACATGCAGACCTATCAGGTGCTGTTTGCACTACCTATGCAATCCTACAGTTACACGCTTGCTAGGTAAATACCATGCTTCGCAGGGTCATGGGCTCAACAGAGTAGACCGTTTTTCCCCAGACCTTGCCCGTTGAAATCCTAGTCTGAGAACGCGCACCCCAGGCATTCTTGCATGTGTTGCGCCCGCTATCAGAAGCCAGCGTATCAGCATTGAGAAGATTTCGAGCACTTTGTCGAAGCCACTGCCCCTGTGCAGTCGAGGCGACATGAGTACCTAGCTAGTCGTCTCTTAACGATGTCACGCCAAGCCTACCGCTCCAAGGTTCTCATCAATGGGAGACTATACACAAATGCGTAGAGCAACCCAATGGATTCAGTGCAACGCACTCAATGGTCCAATTGTTCTTGTGGTTGCAAAAAAAGTGACGAACAGTCGCCTCTTGTCAGCCTATCAATCTGAACGCCAAGCAAATCGATATCGCCAAGGCAGGATGGTTTCGAGCTGGACGCGCTTACCCGCCGTTCTTGTTGGTCAGTTGCGCGCAGTTCCAAGCAACACAACTCTACGATCGATACAGCTCTTACGAAGGAATTTATATCGTTGTATTCATATAACGACGCTTCTTGCTCCTCGCGATCTTGTTCGTCACGTGGACATATGGAAAATCAATATAGCATGAGGCTAACACGAAATGCTAATACGCTGCAGTAGTTATGTACGAAGCCATGATGCTTCACACTTTCACGAAACCTCAAAGCCCTCAATATCGCCCTTCGCATCGTATTCGCGGACTATGCGCTCGTACATAGCGATACCACCTCCGTGCAATACCCTTCGCATGGCCTGCCTCCGCTTCTCTGGATCACCTCCAGCAAGGCGCAACGTGGCGCCCTCGTGATTAAAGTAGCCCGGCGTGCAGGCAATCACAACAGAATACCACAGCGACCACTTCTCGATCTCATCCACCCACGCATCCTCGGCCTGCTTGGTCGGCTCGATGACAAGTTTTGTAGGGTCCGGAGCCCGGCGAGCAGCCTCCTTCAATACATTGGCGAGATGGGTGGACTCGATGTCGTAGACGGCAGTGAGGTTCGGCGAGCCTGCTCCGTTGCCGAGACCGGGATAGAGCAGGTTGGGGAAGCCATTTGTGGCGATGCCATGTATCGTACCAAAGTCGGCAGAGCCATACTTGTCCTTGAGACGGCGGCCATTGCGGCCAACAACGGGTATGCCAAAGAGCTCTGCAGGCGCTGCGTCTGCACCCGTTGCTAGCAGGAAACCCGTGGCGAGAATCAGCACATCCAGCTCGTACTCGACTCCGTTGGCGACGAGACCCCGCGGCGTGCACCGCTCCACACCCTTGCCATCCGTATCTACAAGTGTGACGTTCTCCTGGTTGAAGGCGGTCAGATATCCGTCTTGGAATGTGGGCCGTTTGCACCACATCGGATACCATGGCTGTAGCTTCTCTGCCGCGGCTGGGTCCTTCACTACGGTGTTTCGCACGTGTGCTCGCGCTTGCTCTGCTAGCGGCACATCCATCTCATACAGCGCACGAGCGTGTTCTGCTACGTTGTCGGGCGTGACAAGTTGCGGGCCTCCAATGAAGCCCGCAAAACCGCGCGCCATTTGTGTCCAGCCGTCGCCGACGAGATCCGGATGATCCGCCGGATGCTTCTGACCGTCAAAGAAAGTGTCGAAGTTAAGTCGGCGAGCGCGTTGCCAGCCGGGCCCCGTCGCCACGTCGCGTGTCCATGTGCTATCGTCCGTAGCCTGCTGGCGGCGCGGTACACAGTACGAAGGCGTGCGCTGGAAGGCATATGTATGACCAGCCCAGCGTGCTACCTGTGGTATTACCTGAACCGCTGTTGCGCCAGTACCGATGACGCCGACGCGCTTGCCCTTCAGTTTTGAGAGAGTAGCATCTGTTGGCGAGCCACCAGTGCAGTCAAAGTCCCAGCGTGCTGTATGGAAGACAGGAATGTTGGCGCGAAGTTCGTCGAAGCCCTCGAGCTTTGGCATTCTTGGCTCTGTGAAGATGGTGCTGGCTGGAATTAAGAACTGTGTCAAGATGGTCATTTCCTCGCCGTTGCTGTGCTCTTTGCGCATGCGGACTACCCATCGTCTTTGCTCCTCGTCCCATGTCGCACTGAGCATCCGTGTCGAGAATTGTCCGCGCAGACCATAGTGCGATGCCACGCGCTCGCAGTGTTCACGAATCTCGTTGCCTGATGCGTACTTCTGCTTGGGCACATAGCCAGTTTCCTCGAGAAAAGGCATGTAAATGTAGCTCTCCACATCACACTGTAGACCAGGGTAGCGGTTCCAGTACCATGTTCCACCAAAACCGCCCGCCACGTCCACCAAGTATATGCCCTTCGCTGAGAAGCCTGCTTCTACAAGTCGTCCTCCTGCCAGCAACCCTGCATGACCTGCGCCGATGATGAGAAACTGGATGTTGTCGCCGTCCTTGAGTGGGCCGTCTTCCTGGTGCGCATTTTGTAACCATGGGTCATCGGCAAGCGGTTTGTCATCTTTGCTGGGAAGGCGTGTGTACTGCTGAAATCCGTCGGGTCGCAGTCGCTTGTCGCGCTCCTGCGCGTATCGGGCTTGTAGTTCGGCGGCGTTGAGCGTTGCCATTTGTGCTTCCTGTCTGTTCCACTGCAGGGAGAAACTATGAGTAACGAGTCTGTATTTCGGAATGACTGGCTTTACACCAGAGTACACAATTTTATGTCAATCGACAATCCCAGCCTTTTATTGCGCCGCTGCTCCCCATCTTAATGCCCTGCTCCAACCTACTCCTCCTCATCTGCCGTGTCTGTTTCTCCCTCATCCGAGCCGGCTTGCCCGGCAACGTAGCGAGAGTAATCTTGCCATGGTGTCGCGTTCTTGTGGTGTCGGATCCCGACTTTAACCAAAATGGTCCGATCTCGTGTGGGGGCGCGAATGAACATCAACGGTGGATTTTGACGCTATAGACTGCTTAGGAACGAGTCCCTCCCCGCCTCATTCAGGAAGCTTGTAATCGCGATTAGGTCATCAAATCTATAGACGACTCTAAGCCAACATACGAACCTGCAGCTCTGCAGCCTTGCGGCCTATCGAACAGGATCATCGTTGGGCGCAGGAGGATGATCAGGCCTCGCGCCCCTGACAGGACGACATCCTCACAAGAAACCGCTTCAATCAAGTCTCCATAGGTGAGGCTCTGGATCTGAGCTCTGACGATGGATTGGAAACTAAAAGCTATTTCAGTCAGCGGTAATCCGGCAAGGAACCAGCAAATTCTGTAGCAGAGATGCAGCGTACCTATGTCTCTTCTCAACATTGTACAACAAATGCACCGATTAACCCCAAACTCCCCGATAAGCCCCTTGCACGCCGAGTACGTGACGTGTTGACGCACCAATAACCTGGCGGTGAATTCTAACCCGAGAGCCTAAAAGCCTGAAAATCTCATACAGCTTAAGAAGTGCTTAGCAGTCAAAGGGTAGAGAGATCCAGAGGAAACTCGTTTCGAGTCTTGTCTCCTCCTGAACTACATTGAACTCCACGTATCGTAGTTGAGCTACACACAACATGTCGACCCTACGCACTATCGTGGAGACGGCGCCTGCCAAACTCTCGTCCATCTCGTCAAGGCCTAAAGATGCGGCACCAAAAGCTTCCTGGGGACCTTACTTGGAGCTCACACGCTTCAGCAAGCCCGCCGGACTTCTGGGTGTCTACTTCCCCTACTTCATTGGCTTCCTCTACTCAGTCAATTTGACCAACCCGAAAGCTCTCTCTCCAGCCGACTGGGCCAGGCTGAGCGCTGTCTTCCTGCTCGACGGCCTCATCTTACGCAGCTTCGGCTGCGCGTGGAACGACACTGTCGACCAAGACCTCGATCGACAAGTCGAACGCTGCAAGAAGCGGCCGCTCGCCCGCGGTGCCCTATCGACACCAGACGCCCTCTTCACGACTCTCGTCCTCGCCATCTCGCGCCACGTCCTGTTTTACGCTACACTGCCAGCCCGAGCTGGTCAGCAGGCACTCCTCACAACTATCCTCGCCCTCTTCTACCCCTTCATGAAGCGCTTCGGCAACTTCCCACAGCTCTGCCTGGGTGCGGGCGTGGGCTGGGCGGTCTTCTTGGTTGACGCTGCCGTCGTTGATGGACCTCACCCAGCTGCGCCGGTTCCCATGCTCGATATCGAGGATCGCAGCAAGGCTATGATGGCTATGTGGGCCTGTCAAACCCTCTTCAACATCACTTATGATACGGTTTATGCCTTCCAAGACATCAGAGATGACCTCAACGCCGGTGTGGGCTCGTTGGCTATTGCCGTGCGTCACTACCCTAAGGTGTTTCTGCTATCGATCGCAAGCGCCATGGCCGGCTTCTTGTGGGCCACCGTGTCGTGGGGCGGTCTCACGCGCGGCCCGTTCCAGGTTGGTGCCGGTGTATCTTCTTTTGCCGCATTATTCATGTTGGCCCGGCTCGACGTGTGGGATCCGAAAGCGTGTAGGAACTTCTTCGTGTACAGTCAGTGGTGGGTCAGTGGGGTACTGGTGACTGGTTTGGTGGGTGAGCTGCTGATGGCAAAGATGTAAATTTGAGAGTCGCCGACGTGAAAGACTCTTGGTCGAACCGTTAAGAAGACTCATCCTGTGACAGCACATGGCACTGTAAGGATGCAAAGATGATGAGCCATTTGCGGCTTTATCAGCTCCTATGCATGCATACGAGAGTAGCCTTATAGATAAGGGTATCTCGAGAATAACGAACTTATGACAGAATATGGGGAAGTCAAGGTGATCGATAGCTTCTGTTTAACATAGAGCAATACAAATTGATTCAGACCATTGAAAGTCTAAGCACTTCTGGTTTCCATGGAAAGTGGATAATTAGTAATCTGAGTCGTGCATCAAGCAGTATGAATAGACAAGCAAAGGTGTCTGAGTATGCAATCCCAAATGTGGATACCTAGGTACCCCTCTGATTGCTCACGGTGAGCACCGAAAGTAGGAAATTGAAACTCGAGGAGATTGCTGCAGGTTATCGGAGAAGACGCGTTCTACACAGTATGTCAAATGAATACTATGACGGTTGTCTACGTGAAGCCGTTTTAGGACTACAGCCTGCCAAGCTATACTAAATACCTATTTCGGTGACTAATTCTGGTATATGGTAGCATAAAGAACGATACTCCATGCAAAAGTTAACGCTTTTTTCAAAGCCCCAGTGGGTACATAGTCGCAAAATGGGGGCCCTCTCACTTTTCTTAGGCTTCCTAGGCTAGTAAATGGGTCTCCACCTTGGAATCTCGAAATCTAGAATATCTCCTATGTTAGCGAAGATATTCCCGATTTTGAGATCCACGAGTCATTTCCTACAGGAATGCATTTCTTCGTCATGCTCTCATCCATGGCAGGCATCTTTGGAGATGTTGGCCAGTCTAGTTATTGCGCCGGAAACACATATCAGGACGCACTTGCACGATATCGAGTATCAACAGGCGAGAAAGCGTCCAGCATTGACCTCGGCATCGTGACGAGTGAGGGCTACGTCGCTGAGAACCAGGTAGTGATGGATCGTCTGACAATGCTTAACCTTTTCCGTCCACTCTCGACAAGAGAGGTCCTCGCCCTTCTCGACTACGTTTGCAACCCCGACTTGCCTCCCAGCAGACCCTGTCGGAGCCAAATTGTCACTGGATTTGAGTTGCCAGCCGACATCGAGTCGAAAGGACGAGATGTACCCAGCGCAATGGAGCAGCCTTTCTTTTGGAATATGCGACAAGCAGAATGTACATTCAAGCGTGGCGAGAACCTAGTGTCACATATACGCACATTCTGGTCGGCATTTACGGAAGCGTCCTCAGGAGATGCGGCGGCATCGATCGTCGCGGAAGCGCTGAAGATGAAGGCCAGCCGTGTACTCGGATTACCAGCGGATCTGATTAGTATGAATTCTGCACTAGACAGCTACGGTGTTGATTCCTTCGTTGGCCTGGAGCTACAGAATTGGTTGTCAAAGGAGTCGGGCGCTAACCTCGCTGTATTCGACATTCTGGGTGGAGCAACGCTACTGAGAATTGGCCAGATGGTAGCTGCGAAGAGCGCGCTAAGGACTCAAAGCTAGGCACTAAAGAGTAGCAGAATTCAAGACAGCATGCTGTCGTCCCGTTAGTGTTGTTATCCGAGCGTTGTGTGTTGCCTGACTGTTTCTGATGACCGACGTCGCGATGTAGTGCATTATTTGTTTGACAAGAATACACATCGAATTAAGGTACTTCACAAAGCTGTCACCACGGGCAAATTGAATTGGAGTAGGAAATATAGCCTAGTTCGAGAAGAAGCTATTTGAGTATATATACAAGATCTATGCAGAGCGGCAAGTGAACGGCTTATGCGCGGTTCCAGTTGTGGTAAGTTTGATTATGTCCGCAATCGTTGCGTAAGATCCGGCACCCAGCGTTATGATCCCAATGATGAACGCCAACAAGCAGGCCGCGCTCATCAACAGATTTTCTCTCGCAAAGGGGCTGCCCTTGCGAAGGAGACGGTACCACATCACTGCGGGAATCCAGAATGAGAAGCCGGAGACAAACAGCGCAGAGGCGAGGGATAGCAGGTCAGAAAATATAGGAATGGCTTCGGCAATAACCCACGCAATGATGGTGAAAATGACGACCAGTACAATCCAGGAAGCCCAACCGGCGACCGTGTTGATATACTTCAACACCGAGTTCTTGAACATACGGCCGTGGATATAGCGCAGGGCGACGGTAGTGTTGATGCTGCCGGAAATGAAGATAACAGGGAGCGCAATGCCAAATGCAATTCTCGAGACGAGCGTACCAGCAGAGAGGAGTGCTGGGGAATCGACACCTTTGCCAATGAAAGCGTAGCACAACGCTCCGGTAAGCGTGTAGATGCAGATTTGAATGACGCCAGATGCCCAAATGGATTTCATATATTCTTGTGGCGTATGCATTTCGTCCATGAAGCTGAATTGTCCGATGGCAAAGCTGAAGGCGAAGACGATGTTGGAGACAGCGACGAAGGCTTCCGAAAAAGTCAAGTCTTCTTTGGGCCAGGCAGACCAGTCAACAGCAGACATGCCGCCAGCCTTGTCACCAGCTTGGACACCGGTTGCGATGATGGTGATGCCGATTGCGATTAGGATGGAGGCAAAATCAATGTATCCAAGGATGGCGACTTCAGAGAAGGAGGGCGGAATGGCGAGAATGAGCAAGATGATGGCGGAAACAGCAGAGAACACCATGGAACAGACATGGCCACCGTTAATGTTGATGAGCGCGATACTGCCGGTCAACGCGTGCGAACCAACAACCATGACGAGTTCGAGCACCAGCGCAGCACCGAAGAGTTCGTAGCCGAAACGGCCGAGCAGAAGGCGGCCTGCATCGGCGTAGGACGCGACCTCTGGGAACTTCAGCTTCACCTGACCAACAATGTAGCTGGTAAAGATGGCAACGCAGCCAAGTCCGACAGTGAGCAGAACGCCTGGAAACATGCCGAGAGTTGCGTAGGCCTGGGGCAAAGAAAGCGCGCCAAGGGCGATGGCCTCAACGATGGTGACAACTGCGAGGCGCTTCCATCCCAGACGATGGAAGTGAGCATCTCCGTCTTTGGCGATTTGTTTGGCACGTTGCGAGTCCCAGACCTCGCCCTCGCCGAATAATTGGTTGTCAGCTAGATTAGAATCGTCATCGTTCTTGTCGTTCTTGCGTCGTGTCGAGGAGATGTGGTCGGACATGTCGAGCTTGAAAGGAGAGAAGGTGACAGATGACGGCAATTAGGGATCGAAGAGATGTTCAGCTCAGATTTCAAGTAGCATAAATGATGAAATGAATAAGAGCAGACAAGGAAATTGAACAAGACACCAGTCCCTCTCCACATAGTGCAAGATGCCCCATGGTACATATATGAAGGCAGATTCCCCGCAAGCTCGCCAAAAGTAATGGAATTGACACAACTAACAGGATATCGTTATCTCGACACGTGGAGACCCAGCGCACAGGTCGGCATCGCCTTCCAGCGGTGCAGAGTCTGAGCGCGCCACTTGCTGCTCACGATGTTCTGGGGGTGTAACGTGAAGCATTCGGGAAGCATTCGGGAAGCATTCGGCCTGACTAGGCGAGCAGATCCTTGCGGAGCATCGCGTTGGTCTTTCCTGAAAGCGACAGCTAGGCGAGATGTTTTAGCTAATACAAGGATAGCCGGCCGTTCAACGGCTGCACTATTGCATTGCTGAAAATTCTTGATGCACTACGTCGGTCCAAAGTGGATTCTATGTGTCGCCAAATTCTTCATACAGTGCTAAGCTTTACTGTTTGCAATACAGACATAGGGGTCTTTGGCCGCAGCGTTGCATTGCGCACATGCGCGTCACAGTTCTTGACCGGGATGCGAACGTGCAATGTTGCGGTTATCCGAGGCCTATATTCGTTGGGGCAGGCGAGCTGGAAGATGAGGTCAAAGTAACACTTGGTTTCCGTTCACGAGTTCCACCATTGCAAGTCTTTCTGGCATATTCTCGGACCCACGAATCCTCCTCTGAGAGCGGCCATAGCGATCCGATCAGCATCTATTTTCCCTCTTGCGCGCTGCCGTCTACGATACCATGCAAAGCTCTTTCGAGCGTGATCTATTCCAGGGCCACAGCATATGTTGGCGCATGAAGAATAGCGCGAGGAGGAGGCTTGGTCTCTCAAAACGCCAATGTTGATAGTACCGAATGGTCGTGTCCGTCGTTGTCGCCCAAGTAGGTAATTCAGCCCTGGAACCCGTCACTTCCGCTCGATCTTGACCCGCCTTCTCTTCTTACAAGTCTCATCGCACTGCTCTCGCGAGAAGAACTCTCTGTTCCTTCATTATCCTTCTCTTGCCATGTCTCCATCTGCCCGCGTTGCCTCCTAAAACAGCTCCCATGCCTACAACCTTCCTGCAGTAATGCCAACAAAAAAGATCTCACTTAACACCTCTTTGAACTCGCACTCAGCCCCCTTCGAGATTCAGTACCCTTGATACTCAAACTCGTCGCTTGATTCAACCTACACTCGTAACAACATGAAAGGAGTACTGCAACTCGACTACCTTTAACCGTTCATGCCTCGCCTGCACCCCATCTGCTTCCTCATACTCACAGCCATGTAATTGATTTCCTGCTCCCCCTTCTCCCAACGCCCCGCAAAAGAGCACTCAGCTCGCCAGCCCCATCAACTCGACCTCACTACTCCGCTGTTCCACCTCATGTGCTACCTAACGTTGCCGCCTGGTACGCTGCTGCTCGAACTCTATTCACTCCACCCTCGTCATCTTTGCCAAATGTTCTGCTTCCTATCTGCCCATACCTACCTGTCTGCCGTCCTGCGACAGGCCCGGCGCTTTGGGAATCGCTGCTGGGCTATGTACATATCATGTCTGGATAGCCGGGTAGAAGATCTGACATCACGATCATCCGACATTGCGACGGACTGTTGCAAGATCGCAATGTGTCTGTGATGAACGGCGATTATATAACAGTGCCCTCTATCGCGAGTCACCGTTGCAGTAATGCAAATCCAAGATCTTGCCGTAGGCGAGCGTACGCTAATGGATGAGTTGTAGGTTAATTTTAGTCTCGCTGTACTATGTGATACATTATGTGTTTCATAATGAGCGTTCTTCAGTAAATCCTAGACATAATATCTACTTGATAAACGTAAGTAGATGTACTTGTACGAGAAAGCTACTTGCTTATTCACAAGATATTTTCTGAGACATTTCTCTGCTTCGATTAAGGCGAGCTCATACCGCATACCTGAGGTACAATCTTCCATGGCGGCGTCTTGCCTTCATAATCGCCCCACGCCTGAGGAACATCTACTACACCATTTCTGATATCGCCCAACACTGGAGAGTACTGCCAGTTGTTACGGCGGTATTCATTGTAGATGTCTGGAGAGTAATCGCAGCCAGGCCCGAGACAGGAAGTCTTTGCCTCATTGAACGTCTATGCGATTTACTTAGCACACACACCTCATCTACGGCATAACACGTTTACTGCGTGGTGGTACATTCCTGGGAATAATCTAGGATGAGCTCCTTTCTTACCGTGATCAGGACTGCCAGAGTACGGATCGTTGTGCGCTGTCGCTTGGTCTCAGCGCAGCTTATTGTACCCACTGTGCTGAGCAATGAGAAGTGCCTTGCGCTCCCACCAATCGCCTTGGGTTTTGCCAAAGACGACTATGGCACACTCCCAGTCGTGTCGGTGGTTGTAGTCGTCGGGATAATACGGACTGTAGACGATGCGCTAGGTTGTGTCGCCTGGACAGTAGACGCCGTCGACGTACACAGGTAACGGAGCGCTTCTCATCAGAGGACCGCTGTAGGGTTTACCGCCGTTGGGATCGCGACGTTTACTTCCTGTCATTGCCGATTAGACTCCTCGTCATGGAGAGAATTGGATCGCCGCGACACCTACCAACAGCAACGCCATCTGAGGCATCTGCCGAGACGCCTGGGGCTGGGCCGTCTCCATTCGCATCAGCGGCACTCTCGGGGTAGCAGGGCCTTTCGAAATCGTTGAGTCGGGCGTGGTTCCATTGAGGCATTGCTGCAAGTGCAGGTCCCCAACCCTTGTCTCCCATGTTGACAAAATCAGGGCCGCAGATGGCAATTCCGCTGACACCGCTCGGGCGACCACCGCAGCCAGCTTGCCTCTTTTCAAGACCCAGTTGTGCAGTCAAGTTGCTGATGTCACTCTGATCGATGTAGTTGACATCAGATCGAGGTTTGAATTTGCTACCTTCAATCACATTCTGGATTCCGTCAGTGGCAGCCAAAAGTACGTATAGGTAAAGCCTACATTAATAAATAGTATATGTATTTTCTATCCTAACCTCCTTCTATTAAAAGCCCTATCTTTAGTAGTATAGTGGATACCTAGTAGTAAGTTAGATTAATGCTCGGAGGTTCGCTCGTTGCGTTACCTGGCTATCGGTATTCAACAATGACGCAACCCTGGTTAGCGCCTTGGCATCCGGATGTCCCGCGATCGTTGCCCTTGTCCAATGCGACTCGCGACGAACAACGCGCCTCTGCCCGCAACCGACAATATATTTCGCCATGCCCCCAGTCGGGCCGCACAGATGCGTAAACCAGCCCACGTAGTGAGCCTCAATTAGATCGCCGGCATAGACGAGACAATGGACGGAGCGATAATCCCGCGACCAGAGCGATCCCACGGAAGGAGGCGGAAGGAAGAATGATCCACAATGCCATGAAGAGGGGGTCGTATCGAAGAGCATCAGAACCATGTCTTGTTGTGTGCACATGCATAACAATTTGTTGAATTATGATACCTAAGCTTCTGGAATTGGCACTGGCCCGGCAGGTGGCTTGCCACCAGGCAACCAACCCTGATGCACCGTCCTGACACCCCAACTGGCTGGGTAATCGATCTTGGTGTGGAAGAGGCCGTAGTTCTGGAAGAGGAGGATATCGTGCTCTTCCTCGGGACCCACCCAGATGTGTTCGGGCTTAATCATCCTTCCTTGGATGTTATCCAAGAACTTCCTGACCTCACCCAAGTCATCGATGACCTTGGGTGTGTCATTCGGGCCGTTACGGATGAACAGCCTACGGGCAAGGTTATGCTGCACCTGGAATGACTTCTTACCGGTGACGGGGTTGACCCAGACCAACGGAAGCTACGGTTGCGTTAGTATCAGACTGATTGCGTATGTTCCCAGGTTGACCATACCTTTTTCTGCCAATCTTTGTTTCCTTTCTCATGCGCCTCTACCTCTTCGTCCGGCAGTTCCCTGCCCTCGTTTGCGACGCCTAGGCCATTTGGAGCACCACGGCAGCCCTTGATCTTTTCATAAGGCCAATACATGTACTCAACCCAGCTGTGGTCCACCGTCTTCTTCTCGTCATCGCTCAGCATATCATACAATTGCTCGACATCTACAAACGCTGTTCGTCCTGGCTTGACTTCCATGCTCTGACCAGAGCCGTCAGCCCACTCCACTGTCTGCGTGCTCTTGCCTTCCGTTGGGAACTTGATAGGCCGGAGCATGGTGAAGGTCGGGGGATCATACTTCCAGTAGGTGCCGTCCACATGCCACCAATGGAAGCGGGCCTTCCCGGCTTCAAAGTCTGCATCCGCGAGCGGCTTCTGGTAGTACTGGTTGAAGTTGGTATCGCCCATGTTAAGACCAGGCTTGCCGTATTTTGGGTCGTCTTGAGGGCCTTTGCCGATGAACACGAAAGCACCCGCTTCCGGAACTTCGACATAGTTGATGGCTGCCACTATGCCATCTTTTGGGTAAAATGCCCTGGCGAACGTGGTGTTATCTATCTTCTTGGAGTCTGGGTCAAGCTTCTGCAGTAACTCCCAGCCACGCTTCGGTTCCAGGTCCTTTTGGCCTTTGATGATAAGAAGCTTGTGCTCCCAGGTCGCTTTCTGCAACTGCACTACCGTTTCGTCTGTAAACTGGTTTAAATCGAGGCCAGTGACGACAGCTCCGAACTAAGTGCAATATTGTAAGCGGAGAACAGCAAGGATGAATCCAATCTCTGGTCAACACGTACCTTGCATGTCTTCCCCGAAGGATGAGCCAGAGGCTCAATCTTGAAGTCGCTTGCCATGGTATTGAGGACGAAGAATAAGTGTGTGTTGACGAGTTCTATCTTCGCCCGTACAATATGTCTATGGTAATGGTATACCGAAACGGGAAATTGGGTCGCGTAACTGCTTACGTACAAGTCTAGCTTCGCTGGTTAAACTTTGTTCCTGTATTGGTGATTATCGCGGAGCAATTTGGCAAGTCGGGTAATACCAAAATCCACCGAGCCGCCTCATCCAGCATCAACCTTGGAACAACATGTCTACATTCACTCAGACGTCTTAGAATGGAAACTGGCATTGTTCAACGTCGAAGAAAATTACGAGGCAATCCGCCGATGGCGCCAACCGGTAGTTAGGATACGAGAACTTTCGAGAGCGGCAGTTGTGTTTTCGGAATGAAACTCCACATGTGAAGCCGATTAGGCCAATCAATGAAAGGAAGCTTTGGCCAGGAAACACCAGAACTCCAGCAAGAGACATTCGTGGCAGTCAACAAATTTACAATTTAAGAGCTATAGAAAGAGCAATATATCACACGCTGCTCCTGTGCGCCGAAAACCAAAAGCGAAAACAAACACACTTATAACCTTTCGTGAACCATTGCTCGAGCACCAACTACCTGGATGCCATCACCATGCATGCTGTACGGCACAAACGTTTTCCGTTCCAGCCCAACCTTCTCGAGAATGCGATCCCACTCCGCCAGTGACCTCTCTCGCGCCCCGTAATTGGCCATCATCAGTAGATCAAACGAGGCTCCGTACCAGTGTGTGCTCTCGTCCCCAAGGGTGAGCTCGTCAAGCAGGATGACCGAGTCAGGAGCCAGTGCGTCCTTCAGTTGTGACAGGATGTTAAGACAGACTTGATCGGGCCAGTCATGCAAGATGTTGCGCAGGTAGTAAACACACGCCCCCTTGACTGGTTGCACCTTATTGAAGTCATGATGAACGACCTCCAAGCCTTCGATACCCTTGGCAGAGTCGATAGCAGCCGCGTGTGTATCCTGTAGCACAACACGTCCTTGCACCCAAGGAAATCTCCTGATAACCTCTCTAGACTGGTGCCCGTAGCCACCACCGACGTCCACGAAAAGCTTTCGGTGCTCAACACCCGCGCTGGAGGCGTGCACGTACTTCTCGAGTGGGAATACATCGAGCCAGCTCTTTTGCCCGACCCGCTGGAAGGACATGTACTCGTTGAATGCCTGTTGGTGCCGTGGTCGCTGCGACAACCATTCGAAAAAGTGTAGGTCGGTGTTTTTACTTAAGTTGAACGGAAGGTTCTTATTGTCTTGCGGTTGCTTGTAGGAATTGTCGGCTAGCCACTTTGGTATCGCGTTGTAAAGTGCAATATTTCTCTCTGTTCTGCAAGGAGAGTCAGCTATAATTGTCAAAACCAAACATGGAGTACCCACACATGGAATACGACGGACTCTAGCCCTGACATGGATAGATATCGCGTAATGTTCGTCGCACGGTACGTCTCGACGCCGACCTGCTCCACCATCCATTGCGTCGCCGCCCACCGCAGCACTCGCACTAGCAGTGCTTTTTCCGCACCCAACTCCACAGCCATCTCACTCACGCTCATCACTGCACCCTCTCGCTTAGTGAGTAGCCTCCACAGCCCAATATCAATACCAACTTGCACCATGTTGGGCGGTAGTGCACAGAAGATTAATCGCTGCATGGTGTCCCACGGCTGCTCGAGCTTGAGAGAAGCCATTCTGGCAGCCTCCAAGAATCGGAGTCGCTTTTCCTCGTCGTCACGAAGGGGAGCGGGGATGTTGCCAGAGGCAAGAGATTCGAGAGCTTCAAGGATAGTATCGGCCGCGACACCCTCTCCGGGGTCTGTGTTCAAGGATTCAGAAAGGAATGGTATGGCAGACATGGTAATGTTTTCTTGCTAATAGATGTATATGCAGGTCGCTGGATGGATAGATGCAACAAGTTGTGACAAAGGGATCAACTTATACAAGAGAGCGCGGCAGCAAGGTTTCAGATCGACGTTACCCGTGTTGCGATCGGTACATTGTATGTTATCGAGAGCTGCTTGCATGATCGGTGGCCGAGATTGTGGTTCCGGAAGATCATGTGGAGTTTAGCGATGGTCGCGAGCATGAGGAGTGGAAACCACCGTGCGATCATGTCGTTGATTGACTCGAGTAGTATTCCCCGAGCTAGAAAACAAGCCGAACTATCGCTAAAATCTGTAGACCCCTATACCTCCACTCTGGACCCTTTCCTACTACATCTTCAACCTAACAGTCTCCGCCCTTTCCGCCACCTTCTTCGTGAACTCTCCCACAACATCTGCACATAGTGCTAGCAGTGGGTTCTTCACTGCTACGTCCCCACCGATTGACAGCCCTGATAGTAAGGCATCCCGTAGCCGCTCTAGCACCCGTTGCGCCTCCAGTACCCGCTTCACCAGCAGTACACGCACTACAGCCCGCCTGTCGGCACCCTGGATCGGCAGTGATCCACAACGCAGCGGTTCGCACTCCTCGTCTACCACGGATGATGGCAGCATGAGATCGTTTCCATTACCGTCGCTTATGCTAGATAAAGACGATGGTGATGAAGATCCCCGATTATCATGATTTGGGTTAGGTGTCATTGTGGGTGTCCAGAGGGAGTTGCCGCCCAGTTTGAGCGACACAAGCGCCCGGTCAATGGCTTCGCAAATGAGGAGCGCAGTTGAAGGGCGTGTAGAGCACTCGTTGGCGCAGGTTATCGTAGTACAACAGCATGTAATGAGGGTTCTGGACGTTGACAGAGCGGTTGACGTGGAGGTAAGGGGTGATGAGGAGGGTCCGTGAGAAGGCGTAGATAGGTAATCAAGAAGGTTGGAGACGCAATTGCATGATTTCGTCGAGGGAGTGGTTTGGTCGAAAGACTGTGGACACTGTGGCTGTACTTGCTGTTGTGGATGAATCGCATAGCTACCATTTTCGACGTCGCTGCTGCTCGTGGTCGGTATCGGTATGTCGTTCTCATGCTGATCTAGATGGCGAGGTTGGTGACCGTCCGGGGTAAGTAAACCAAAGTACGGTAGCCCTTCGTCGAAGAGCATGGGAGTAGAGAGGGATTGGTGTTGTTCCTGATCGTGTTGCTGCTCCCATGGTGGTCCGCAGAAGCCTATATTGAGAAGCTCTGGAGCGATGTGGAACTCGGGAGACATGGCGTAATAGCAATTGGTAGTTTGTTTCGGTGTACCGCATTGTGAGCCCGTGAAGTCCGGAATACCTTGCATGAAGTCGCCGTCTGACCGTGGATACGAGGAGAAGTCCATATCGTCGGGGCTCGGGAGTGGCATAGTCTGCGCTATGCTAGGGATAGTGGATGTATTGGAGCTGGAGCTGGAGCAGTCTTCGGAGGCGGATAGCATGCTAGGTGGACCAAAGGGCGACGTCTGACCTACGGCTGGGATGGTGATGCCGTGCTCCGTCATGGGTGTCAAATACCCTTTCAAGCTCGCAGATGCACTGCTCTCAATGCTAGATGTGCTCTTGCTGTTGTTGCGAGTGCGTGGTCGTCCAGCACGTCGTGCTGGGCTGTAGACACACTCTATTCCCTTCTTTGCACATCTGCGACATTTTGGCCGTTCCTGGTCGCATCGGATCTTGGAGTGTTGGCAGCTGTCACATGCGAGGCGGTACTTTGTGGGTTTGGGCATTGGGACGTTGCCCTTTGCACTTGAATCTTTTTCTTGCATATTTAATTTGACGTTGATATATTGATTGATAGCTAGTAGGTAATGGCGATATCGCGGTACATGTACTCACCATCGTCTCAGGCCAAACTGTCGTGTGTGGAGACGCTAAAACCTGACAATATGGAGGGACTTCGGAATGGTTTCTGGCTGATAGCAAGCGCTGATACTACTAATCTCGCTATGCAGCCACGTGTTAGCTATTCGATCTCGAACTACCTAGGTACGGCGGTGGTGGGAGGCAAGAGTTTCGCATGTGGCGCTGGGATCTCGCGATCTGGGGACACTTCGGAAGGAACCGACGCGTTACTACGTTCCAAGGTTACATACTGAGGCGTAATCGTCCTAGCTAGGATTAGGTGCTACAGTCCCTTGCTAGTGGCCCACTTACAATAGTTTTCCTCGATACCATGGCAGGTGAAACATGCTCTTGCTAGCCGCCTCCGTACCAAACCTTTGTCTTTTACCACAGCATTGGAACTGCACAACATTCAATATGTCATCAACTTTGCACTAACGCACGGCTCGGAACGATGCACGTCTTACACCGTACCTATGTGTTGGAAACGGTCGCTCGGCCCAATCACGGGATGTACCGATCGGGTAGCACGTACTCGACTAGGGTATAGACTTTCCACATCCCACACCTTCCAAGGTGGATTGCCAAGGTCTGCGGGGTCCAGGTTGAAGCAGGGCTCGGGCTCGTATTGCGACGATCCTATTGCAAACCTGGAGTTAGACTTTGGTTGGGCTGGTTATTGGACGCCATTGGCTCGGTGACGGCTTCAAAAGCCGCCAGCAAAGAACGTCTCCATACACACACGTTTTCTTGATGTTCTTTCACATCTTGAGGTGGAGAGGTACGGACCGTACGGTACCGGAGACGAGCAGTCTTGGCTTGCAGCCGGAAACCTTTGCTTCAAATTGCCGAGACAAAGTTATGACCGAAATCAGAAACGTCGGAAACATAATGAACGATAGGCAGTTTACTATGTTGTACAATGGACAAAAAGAACGGTATGTTCGGGGGTTGGCACGTCTGTTCGCTCAACAAACAGAGACAGCGGTGAATGGAGCAGGGTTTACTGTTCGAACTATAGCATACGTATCACGTCAGACAAAGACATCAGCTAGTCGTTTTTGGGATATTTCTTTCTCACGAGTATCCTTCCGTATGGGTGTGATTTGGACTGCAGATGTCGTAAGTGGCTCGTCGGTTCTGCAGTATCGCTTTACCTGGACGAAATGGATGGCCACCAGGGTATCAGCTAATGTTACTTACCAGATCCGTGCGCTATCTCTATGCGCTGATGCTATTCTGGCAGGTTTGCGTGGAAACTGGCGATCCGAAGGGATATCTTCAAAAGGGCCTTGTTCGGTTGCACCCACAAGTCCTTGAGATAAGATATATACAAGCCTTCGGGCCGAAGTAACAAGAGGGCCCATTAGCTAACACGATCGGAACCCGTCGTATCCCGCAAGCTCCTTGGAGCACATTGTTAGTAGAGAGCCTTGTGCTCCTACCTCAAACGCTAGGTGGGTATCGCTTGATGAATCTGTTGAACCAATTAAGTAGATGAGCAGTTTCGCGTGGAGACGAGCGGACGAAAGGATATATCCAAAAGGGCCTTCTTCGGTTGCAACCACCTACGCACAGATTCATCGTCAAACGGTCCAGATTGCACCATCACGAGTGCTCGATTCGAGGTCTTCCAAACTTTTAACTCCCCCACGTCATATGTAAGTCATGCTTTAGTATGGTGTAGAAGAGATTGGTGAAATCACGACTCAACGTGCATAAAAACATGAGCAGCAACGAACGGTCGAACGCTACTTCGAATGGTGTTATTTACAATTCAGCTAGACTCATTATGGTATAGCTAATTCTTTCTTTGTTATTCTACTAATGTGGCAATCAGCCCAAGAATTGTTTTACCGCCTCAAGACTTTGTTTGAAGTTGGACACCTCATGCATGGAGATGCCTAGCTCCTCCTTTGTGACGAAAAGACCTTGTTCTTTGACGTGGCCAAACCAGTCCGTCACTGCCTCGCCAAACAACACTCCAGTGACAGCCTCTTCTCCTGCTAGGCCAAATAGTTGGCCAATTACCTCTGGCTTCACTTCGACATATACACCTTTCTTGCCTGAGACAACTTCCCACTGTTTCAACGCCTCTCCCAGAGTGATCACCTCAGTGCACACCCCGGCGTATTTCCCATGCGTTAACTTAGGGTTAGCGAGAATTTGGCGCGCCCAGATACCAGGGTCCTTGGCCATATCGCCGGCCATGGGGTAAACGGTCGCCGGATCCGACGGAACCATCCAAACATATGTCCCTGGCGCAGTGGCCTAATCGCAGATTGATCAGTCTTGTGATTGGAAGACATTGCGAAAGCATCCACTTACTACTGGTTGTGGCTTCAACATGCCAAAGAAGGCAAAGTTGGATGGATAGAAACCGAACATGAGAAAGGTTGTCTTAGCAGCCAAGTCTGGCATGTTTTTCCGGATATGATCGTCGACCTTCGCCTTGTAGTCGAAATGAGGAACGGGGTATTTGCCTTTGGTGATTACATCTGCAGCAGGAAGTGTGCTCCAGATGTAATGCTCCAGCGTTGGCACTTCAGCCGCCAGCTTCGCAAGCATGATACCCTGGCGTTCTTCAACTTCACCAGCTCCTATCTGGCCGGCGCCTTTGAAGAAAGCTTCCCACCATTGAGTTACCGCAAAGATAGCTTGAGCACCCTGTTCATGTCAGATACCCATCAGTCACAGGGCACAAGCAGTAAGTGACTTACGGCAAATGCCTTCCTGACGGACTCCTCGTCTTCGTAGCTGGCTTGGACTACTTCCATACCCTCTGCAGCAAGTTTTTGCGCCTTTTCTCCATTTGGATTCCTGGTCACAGCGCGGACATGCCAATCTCCTGTCTTAAGCAATCCGCGGGCGATAGAGCCGCCCTGGTTGCCAGTCGCACCAGTGACAACGACAAGTTTCTTAGCCATATGTGGAAAGTGAACGCTATCTCTCCGGATTTACGATACGAGAGGGAGGCAGATAGCAGAAGGCTCGATTGTAGAATGAGATATGCACGTCCTAAAATGGTAGCATGAGATTGAGTGGAAAGTGTTCGACTATGAATAGGAAAGATAACTCTTGAATACACGGAAATGACCGGATGCACGCGAAAACAATCGTTGTATGCTAACCTATTCTCGGTGTCTGAGAGTTCGGCTGAAGCAGTGCGGTATCATTGTTCACTGATTAGACTTAGCAACTGAACTTTCGGGGAGTAAACGAAGCATTGGCATCGTGTATCATCACCACTCTCAGAACTGAGTATCCGGCAGTTCAATCTTCGGTAGTATACTCGTAAATGTCCCGCAGAGTACCTGGGTAGCTCGGCCCGGTGTTCCACAAATGCCCCGAGTCAACATATGTGACCCACCACTATGGGTCTTCGTGCATTAGCTACGAGGGTCGGTTGTTCTAACCGATAGCTAGGTAAACCGTACCTTGAAGGAGTTTGCTGTATTCATGTGATTGCGAGAGTACCATAGGCCTTAGCGGATAAGTATAGGATACGCTTTATCCGGGAACGACGCTGAAGAGACAAGCATGTTTGTGTAGCCACGTAAGGTGTTAAGTTTGAGATCGCTCTCCACAGCTCGTACCACCGTGAACATATGCACCGGACAGTACGTTGGTGAGATCAAAATGCGCCGACTTTTCGGTTTCCCGGTAACGGATGGGTTTTCTCGAAACCTATTATTACAGTAGACGAGATCGCTTCCAAATAGTGAAGAACCATTTACATCTTGCTGCCCTTTGCTCTTATAGATTATTTTCCTTATCAACCATAATGTCGAGAACTGCCAACGCCTTAGTATGCCGCGCTGCGCCAGCACTGCGCTCTACGGTACTGCAATCAGCTCGCTCACCATGCCTTCGCAGAGGATTTGCCCAAGAAACGAGCTTCCCAAAGCCACTGAAGTTGAAGGGCGTTCTCAAGCCTCTGAAGCAATTCATGGTGACGCCTACTGTGGGCACTGAGTTTCCAGAGGCCAATCTCGTTGAGATGCTTAACGCGCCTAACTCGGATGAGCTACTAAGAGACCTCGCCATCACAAGTAAGTATGCAACTGACACCCTTCGGGGAAGACGGAACTGACGGACATCCCTTCTGTAGTCTCCCGACGCGGAGTTGTCTTCTTCCGAGGCCAGAATAACATGACCAACGATCTCCAAAAGACACTGATCCAACGCATGGGCGAGCTGGTGGGAAAGCCGAAGGAATCCACCCTACACATCCACCCCGTGCTCAACCCCCAGAGAGCATTGGGTGGCGATGACCTCCACATCAGCACCATCAACTCCAAGCAGAGGATAATGGCCCAGGGCAAGTCAGTACCTCGTGATCTAGGAAACGCAAGACAGGCACTTGAATCGTGGCATAGCGACATCCAGTCTGAACAGGTGCCCTCCGATTACACATGCTTACGGCTCGTGGAGCTGCCCTCTGTTGGAGGAGGTATGTCCATCTCAAGACATGCCTTCACACACCATACTAATCCGCTTCTCAGACACATTGTGGGCATCTGGATATGAGGTCTATGATCGCATCAGCGAGCCAATGCGAAAGCTTCTGGAAGGAAAGACTGCGAACTACACCGCACCATGTAAGTCAGATGAAGCAAAAGTCATCGAACCCCTTACCCGCTGACACGTCTCCCCGCAGTCTTTGAGAAGATCATCAAGATGAAGAACCTTCAAGTATACACCGACGCCCGTGGTCACCCCGAAAACGTTGGCAACCCTCTAAAGGCAGTACACCCAGTCGTCCGCACGAACCCCGTAACGGGATGGAAGAGCGTCTTCGCCATCGGCGCATACCCAGGTTCTATCAACGGCCTGACTCCCCCAGAGAGCGAGATGATCCTGAACTGGCTGATGGACATGGTACTCCGCAACCACGATCTACAATGTCGCTTCAGGTGGCAAGGCCCAAATGACATGGCCATCTGGGATAACCGCAGTATGGTGCACAATGCTACCATGGATTACGATGAGTTTGGTGATCGATTCGGATACCGCGTATGCGGCATTGGAGAGAAGCCCTACTTCGATCCAAACAGCAAGTCGATGCGCGAAGGATTGGCGGAAGAGGCCAAGGAGGAGTCTTCGTAAACGAAGTAAAAGCTGTGAGGTTTCATTGTCTTGTTAAGCGATCCGAGCTCTCTTTTCCTGTCGAAGCATAGTTCCTTGTAGTTGTCAAAATATGGTACCTGGCTGTTGTCATGGGGATGCTCCAATTCTTGTGCTGGGGGTTCGGAAAAGTTGCCAGTTAGTGAGACGTGCATGAAGCAATTCACATGTTGGTGTCCAATGAGGTGAAAATGCTGACTTGGTGAAAATCTTGCCCATGGCGTGTCCAGTCTTCTCTGGCAAAATCGGTTAAAATGTCGATAGTCGCGCGTCGTCGTTGGTGCATCTGGAAGACTTGCCTGTGATCGGAAGAGGTCCTGGCGATGAGGCTTCCTAGGGGGCACGCTAACTTCAGCGCTAGGGCCGCCCCGGTCAGGACCGACATGCGGATACGAGCCTAACATCAAGCTTCGATCTGCTCGAACCAAGCCGACATCGCTAACGAAGCAACCTTCAAACGCAGTACGAATGTTTATTCGAATCTATTCAAGCTACGAAGATGCGTTTATACGAGATCGAATGCTGCTAATAATGGTTTCCTCCAACCCCGCAAAGCCTGGCTGGCCCATGTCCTTCAGCAGCGCTTCCGCCTTCCCTCGGGGTCCAATTTCGGCCAGCGGAAAATCTAGGCCCGCGAGTTTCTCTTGGTGTTTGTGACCCGGGACCGCCTTTGCGAAAATGTCAAAGAACTCGTTGATGGAGTATGGGGCGGCAAAGGCGAAAATGCGTTCATCGGTGGTAGTTGGGTGGATCAAGCCGGCTACATGAAGCCGTGCGACGTCCTGCACGTGAACATAGTAGACTGCTCGAGTATTAGCCGTCGGTTGAGTTGCACAAACAAAGAGCGAAGATCACGTACAGCGCTGGACGTGTTTGATAGAGTCGACATCGCCGTCTAAAATCTGGAGCGGGATCCTCGCGGTAGACGGGTAGCCCTGGTGAGTAACGCTCAATGGACTTCCGTAGATAGTGCAAGGTAGCACCGCGTTGACAGAGAAGTGTGGCTTGTTGTTTTTCACCCACTCCCAGAAGGCCTGTTCTGCCGCTACCTTGGAGGCAAAATAGCCGATCATGAACTTATGCATTGGCGGAAGAGTGTCGGGGATATTCTTAGACAAGGCCAGTGTTTGCTCATCATACTCATGCGCAGACACTGTATCGGTTCCACGGTATGCTTGCAGCGAGCGGACCGCAGCCGAAGACGACGTCAGAACGAATCGCTTCACACTGGGCTCCTTCGCCGCGGCTTGCAGACAACTCAATGTTCCGGCCACAGTGGTTCGAATCAACTCGTCTGGTGTGACGTGCATATCCCGCACTGAGGCAACGTGCGCGATACCGGAAACACCTAGACGTTGGAACATCATCAGTGTTGGAGCATTACGACATTGAGGCGGGGAACATACCTGAGACTGCGTCATCAAATGCGCCAGGCTCTCTCATGTCCTTGACAGTGATGAGTTCGAACTTGTCCTTGCCATACTTTTGCGAGAAAAGATCTACGAGCCATTGGTGCTTAGCCGCGTCTCGGACTGTGCCTCGCACTTTGTAGCCTTGTTGAAGAAGTTGGTCTGCGACGTGAGCACCGACGAAGCCGTTGGACCCCGTAACGAGGACGGTGGAGCCTGGGGTGATAGCGGGACTATCAAAAACGGCCATTATGGAATAGGGTATTGCGCGATTCTGTTGTACACTCACTAGATCTTTAATAAACACTACGGAGTGTCATAGAGATATAGATAGTTATTTCATCCCGAACTACTTCTTCTTGCGAGGACACCATTTTGTAAACGATGACATAGTTAGACAGCTGCGGCTCTTGGTAGTCTTCGGGGGATTAATCATGTCGTGCGTTCGAATGAAACCATTCCTGATTCAGATGTCGGATGATATTACACAGCTGACATGATGGTTGCATTTATCCATTACTAGTTTAGCAGGCCCCCCCTCGGGAACCTAACTTAAAAACACACCGAGTTCACTAGTTCCTGGCACTTGCACGGCCCCTGACTCGACTCACGATATTAGGTAAGGTGTGGCCATCTCCGCGACAATGGAGGATACGAGCAAAGATGCATCGCGCTGACTGTGGTTGTGCCTTTCTTGCGCTACGAACGCTTGTGCGCGTCGAAGAAGTTACTACATCATCGCAGGTGCCGCTCGAAACCGCAATCCAAGTCACGTCTTCAGTGGAACAGCCCTGCCTCACCGTATTGAGCTGCGAACGGTGCCGCCAGCAACGACTCCCGCTTACCGCTGTCACGATTCTATGCGCCCATCTGGTTGACTGGCTGTGCCGATTATGGAACCTAAAGGACGAGGACCCTGCCGACACCTCCACAGATGCCAGCAACGCCAACACGACTACAACTACAACCAGCACCAGCGAAAGCCGACATGCAACTCTGCCCTGGAAGTTCTCTCTTGGAAACTATGATCTCGCGGAAGACGAAGCCGATGCGCTCAGCAACGAATTAATGACATTGCGGCTCACTGGTTTCTCCGCTGTGTTAGGCTCTCTTGAGGCCGCCCTCGTCACATCTGGGCCAACTCCCTGTGTTCCTTCTTCGCCTGGGGGCAACAACGACACGACCAGCGACACATCGGCGTTTGCGCCAGCTTGTCTCGAACTTGTCCGAGCGAATCTCCGTCTAGTGCGCGCATGCATTCGTCGCCTCAAGGCGCGCTCGCTACTGAATAGCGATGGGACCAGTACTTCGTTTTAGCAACAGTTCTGCACACATACCAGACTTGGAGTCTTCAATGAATTTTTTTAGTGGTGGTATATGTTATCTTGGATTCGAGCGCGCCATGGGGCATTAAAAGGTTCGCATTCTACACATTTCGCGCCGGAAATTAGTCCTGAGACCAAACTTGAAGGTACGTTTGCATTATATTTCCATTGTTCCATCGGATTCGTCGGAGTACTACAGCATCATGGCTCTCATTGAGCCAAGTAGCCCCTATTTCTAATTAGTATTTCATACTCTTGTTTATGTCAGGATTGGAAACGACATACCCATCCAGTACTAGTGACTGACCAAACATGTAGCTGCTCATGGGCCCGGCCAGAAACGCCACTGCATCAGCGACTTCCTCTGGCTGTCCCAAGCGGCCTGCAGGCACACGCTCGCGTACAAGGTTACCGATGAAAGCCTTGATCTGCTCCGAAGAGTCGATAGTAGGAGACGCAATATATCCAGGGCAGAGCGCGTTGATGCGAATCTGTTGCGGCGCAAACAGCACACCCTCAGAACGTGTCAACCCAAGTATAGCGTGGCGACCCGCTACATAAGCACCAGCAGCGATCCCAGGCGGCGAGGCAGCGAAGGCATATACCGAGCAGACGTGTACGATGCTTCCACGGCCATACCGCCCATCGCGAGGCTCCTGCCGTAGCATCTGCCGTAGCTCGGCCCGATGCCACAACCACAAGAGTGTTACGTGGTCTTTGAGATGGGCTTCGAATGCGGCGGGCGCTGTGTCCGGACTGCCGCCCGTCGGCCCACCGAAGCCGGCATTGTTGATGGCGAAATCGATACGCCCGAAGCGCGATGCAGCTTGCTGAACAGTAGCCTCAACGGCATCTTCGGTACTGCATTCGGTAGACACGCTCAACACGTCTGTTACGTTATACTGCGATGCTAGCTTCTGGATGGTCTCTTGCAGACCGGCTTCGTTGGTGTCGACGAGCGCGAATTGGCGAACACCATGCTGAGCCAGCGAGTATGCAGCGCTTTGGCCGAAGCCTACCACACCGAGTCAGTTTTTTTCTTAGCTGCAAACCATATTGCTAAAGATTGTAATACATAGAACGCCGAACTTGACCTACCAGATCCCGCTTCTGTGATGAGAGCTGCTCCCGAAAGCATTTTCGATATGATGATCTTCGTAACCGCATCCTCATCCCGTGGATCTCGATGTTGTTTTATCGTGATCATGCATCGTCGTCGGGGCTTTCTGACTCGGTGGATTCAGAAATACACCGATTGAGTTAGTCGGTTTCGTCCCAAGATCCAAACACTAGCGCGGAGCCGGGTGAGGAGGTGTGATCTCGGGAGGTGGAGGAAAACACCCCGCATAAATCGCGGCACGATATGCTGTCAGCTTAAAGCGCCCGATGTTAAGCCGCCATTGTTCTGTTGAATCTGAAAGCGACCGATGTGTAATGGTCTTGCTTACGACACTCTATCCACATGTTCGATTTGATGAATCAGTACGTTGCTTACCTCTCCAAGAATTGTGCTGACACAGGAGTCTCGGTCTCTAAGCTCCATGTCACACCCCTCACTTAAAGCGACACTTCTCCGTGAGATAACCATCTCGCAAAACATGTTGCATGTTGCGGCATGCATCGAGGTCGATATGATAAAACCAAGCTGGTCTTAACATAGACTCAACCGTTCAGATCCCGAGTTCAAGCTGTAAAGTCTTCGATGACATGCTCTTATAAATGCTAGCCAGCTCAGTAGTACCCGTGTGTAGTTCGAAACGTCGGATAAGATGAGAAATATGTGCGATTCTCACAGCGTATTCTTTGCATACAAAGCTCATAAGAGTCAACTTTCTTCAGGCCATGCAACTGCAAGATCCGCCATGGGTATGGTCAAGTTCGAAAAGTTACTACCACAATATCGTATTATGGTATGTTCGACAAATTCTTCGTTGATACATCGCTGTTGATTCTCAGTACGGCATGGATTTGCCTTCATCTCGAAGAACTGTTGAACGTCGTCCTCGGTCTGTATGAAGAAGCAACAGTAGAGGGATTGAGTGAGATCAATTCACTCCAGGACTCTCCACAGTGGTTGTCAGCGTGATGACCCTTAAGGTCCCTACAAAAACATGAGTGCAACCATCACATTAGTAGCAGATGTCTTTGGCGTAGAGGAATTCCTGTAGCCGGTTCCGTGAATGCGGTCCTTGGTACCGCACGTTGGCGAAACCTTGGGATATCGTCTCGTGTTCGGTTACTGGACGAAGGAACGCGGGTCACTCGCGTGTACGCGGAGAGGCCTGGGTGATAGCAGTGAATGCGATGGCTACCATGTTTCGTCCATATCGAATCCAAATCATTGGAAAGGTGATGGCGCTTTCACAGTTGGAAGGCGATGAGATGCACAGGTGTCGTCCAGAGGCGTTAAGTGGATCAACCGGTGACGAAAAGCTAGCGCTGTTATTTCTTGGCACACTAGCGCTAAACAGCTCACACCGTCCTCTTGCTGATTCACGATCTCAACGCTACCTTCGTCCCTCATTTTCATCATCTTAGCTTTATATCTTGGATAGACCCCTTCCTATCGCTTAGCGGGTGTTGACCGCTTCGTCGACTTAGTAAGACATACCCCACTCTAGACTCCCTTCTATAGCAAGCGATACATCATTCCTACGCTGCATAGCCAGAATAGGTGAGATGGCAGGTGTTGGACACTTTGCCTCTTCCCTGCGACACGGTCAGGCTCGAAGTGCGCATTATACCTGTTCACGGCACGTACGAAGAAACATTGTTTCTCGGCTGATGCAGCCACACAACGCCCTATCACAAACCACCAAGGCAGCCTCATGAGTAGATCATCTGCGACTAATTGTTGCCTACTCCTGAAGCTGTCGCCTACTGTCTGCAGCTCGTTTGAGCGTGAAATTGGATCGATTTCCCAACCAACCTTCCTGACGCAACCCTTCCAGGTTACTGACGCCAATCAGAATGGACCCCTTTAGATACCGTAAGGCGTATGAAGCAATGGTACATACAACACAACTCATCGAAGAACGTTTGAACCAGGATGTTCAGCTCAACGAAGAAGGCGCGGTCCAAGACGATGCACCACAGATTGCTTTCCAGGAACAAGACCCGGACAGTATGGATTGGACGCCTACAGAATCGAATACTCCGCCTCCAGAATGTGAACCACCGCCAGCTTTATCTAAGAAAATGCGCCACCTTCTACCTGGTGGTGGGAATGGGGATCTCCGGGCTGAAGATCGCGGCGAGAATGCAGTACTTCTACACAAGCTCAAGGAGGGAAAGATAATGGATGAATGTATCGACAAGCTGGTTCACGATCTACCGGACGTGTTGAACTATCAAAAGTCACTCTCATTCACTCCTTCTACGATCGAAGTGCCGAAAGATTTCGGATTGCAGCTCAGTATCTCGATAAACCACCACCTCGCTCAGATAGAGGATCGTAAAGCACTGGAAAAGTACCGCAGGCTACTTGGCCATCGTAAGGATGCGAACAAGAAGAAAACTGTTAGACTTGGTTTTGACCCTGTAGACTTGATCAGGAAGCAGGCTGTAGCTTTTGGAAAGGACGCTCCCACACCCGTTTGCACACTGGACAACGACATACATCCTATCTTCCGCCTAGAGAACTGGCATGGGTGTCCGGATGGAATCTATGAGGTCTTGAAACCGGCTTTGCAACTAGCCACTCTGATGTTGACATCTCGAGCGACTGCTCATTTCTGGCACACGTTGGTGTTTGGCAAAAGGGAGCATTGCGAGAAGACTTCCGCAGCGTACGGCCAACCGTGTTTTCGTATCAAAGAGGACGTAGCGTGGTCTGAAGAACATCATGTGACCTTCAAGAGTTTCCTGGACAATCAAATCGACACGGTTCATTTCTATTTCCACCATGATCCATTACCACCAGAGACCGCGTACGCCTCAATGGGCCTCGTCAAGGACTATAAGGAAGGCTTGATGCGAAAAATCAATCACAAATGCCACACAAGTCGTATTTGTCTTCATTCAGACTTCTATACAACCGCAAAGAAGCTCAGCTTACTGCGATATCGGGAGCCAGCGATGGTGCTGCGATATAACATGTTTCTCGCTACATGTTTGGCGCACGAGGTTGCACACTTCTGTGAAGTGTCTGGGCCGCACCACGATCATCCGCTTCTCTCCGAGCCCGAGGTCTTCTTTGGCGACAACATGTGGACAGAGAGTGGAATCGCTTTCGAACTCAAAATCTTCGGTGGGCGCATACATCCTCTGTCTAGCCGGATTGACTGCAAATTCGGGTTGGCTTGTCTCGACTATCCGCTCAAAGAGCTTTATGATAAGGACGACAACGTTCTATATGCACTGCCAATGGATTACATCCTTAAGCTTCAGCAAAAGGAAACGTGGGAACAAGACTTTAGCGAGGCTGGCCCGGAGGTCTTCTTCGTTCCACGCACTGGTGGCCGCTCAATCGAGATCAATGGTACTAACCTCATGATCTGGGAAGATGAGAATGATGCCGATATCTCCGATCATATCGACAACGAGGAAACGGAATGGATGCGCATGGATGATGGATCGATTACGAAGAACCCAAAAGCAAACAATCGCAAACCACAGCGACAACCCGTAGTGCCACGATGGAACCCATATAACAACCAAAAGAGGAAGCATAATGTCGAAACGGGAGCTCCGTGTGTTTCGAAAGAAGTAGTGGAAATCAAGGACGAAGGAGAGAAGGAAGAACAGAAACTACAACCTCCTGAAGATGGGGAGGTAGGCAAGAGTGCTTCTGATCAAGATATGGCATGATTGAACACGGCGTTTACAACGAAGGAAAAGAGGAGGAATTATTGCGTTCGCATTTAATACCAGCTTTTGGATACCACTGCATTTGCGTAGGGCGTTGTTTCTTTGTACTACATTATCATCAGCATGGCAGTTGTTAATATAGCTCGTTCGTATCTTGGTACATACTAAAAGCTTACCTTCCTACCGCTTGCCTTTTCTATGATCTTTGTACAATCTAGTCTTCCGCGCAGTCATTACAGAATCTGTAGATGTGCGAGCTGTTGAGCTATCTTCTGTTGGGGCTCATCCAGGCTAGTCGAGTTAGGCTAGCGCAGTGAATGGTGTCCTAAGCGAGGTGAATCTTGGCAGAGTCACTGGAGCCCGAATTCTGCTTCCTAACAACGACGCACGCCTATCGTTTCCTACCCTCGCCGAACGTTCACCCCAACCCCTTCGACGACTTCACGATGGCGGACACACAGAAAGATGCGCTGTTCAAGAAGGTGCAGATCGACGCCCTGGTACGTAGGAAAAGTGCAAAGCCAGTACCCCACTGTGCGCCCCGCCATTGTGCTAGAAAGACAGCTCCATAGAGGCGTGTTGTAACTACGGGAGACTGACTATGGTCTTCAGGTCGCGATCAAGATCGCTACCGCCAGCGGTAAATCCTTCCCCTCGCTCGCGACCGGCAGCATAGTCGGCATGGAGAAGGACGGCGTACTGGAAATCACAAACTCTTTCCCCTTCCCCGAAGTAAATGCCGCCGCGCAGGCCGACGGACAGAACGACACCGTTGCGAACCTCGCTGCTGGTGCCCCCCGCGCCAAGCAGAACATCGCATACGGCAACGAGATGATCAAGTTCCTCCGAGAGGTCAACGTGGACGCGAACAACGTGGGCTGGTACACGAGCACAAGCATGGGCAACTTCGTCAACCTGAACACGATCGAGAACCAGTTCTACTACCAGAGCCAGCCGAACGAGAGGACCGTCGCTTTGGTTTACGATGTGAGCAGGAGTTCACAGGGCACCCTCAACCTGCGCGCATACAGGCTCTCGCCTTCGTTCGTGACGGCATACAAGGAGGGCAAATTCACGACCGAGAGGTATGTGCAAACGATTCTGTGATATGGGCGAAACTGACAATCCTAGCCTCCAGAAGAGTGGTCTCCGATACCACGACATCCTGGTCGAGCTTCCAGTGACCATCCGCAACTCCCACCTCCTCACCTCGCTCCTACACCAGTTGCCTTCGGATGCGCCCAAGGAGGAGCTCAAGTTCCCACCCAACCTAGCCGCTCTGCAGCAAGACCCAAACACGCCTCAGCCTCCTCTCTTCCCCAACTTCGACTCGCTCGATCTCTCCATCGACCCCTTCCTCGAGAAGACGTGCGACTTGCTCCTCGAAAGCATCGAGAACCACCACACCGAGATCAACAACTACCAATACTACCAGCGATCACTCGCGCGTGAGCAGGCTAAGATCACTGCATGGCAGCAGAAGCGCAAGGCTGAGAACGCTGCGCGCACCGCCTCAAAGCAGCCCCTACTTCCCGAGGACGAATGGCAAAGGCTGTTCAAGCTGCCCCAGGAGCCCAGCCGACTGGAGACGCTCCTCAACTCGAGACAGGTGGAGCAATACTCGAGGCAGGTGGATGGATTCACGGCAGGCGTCACCTCCAAGATGTTTGCTGTCAAGAGCAATCTTCTTCCTGGGGAGTAGAGTGTGGTAGATACGGTTGTGTTTCATGATTATGCTTCTCTTCGTCACGGCATGGGCATGGCGTTGCGGTTTAGCGGTCCCTTTGACGGGACTGGGTTTGATCTTTAGATGGAAGGACCACGATGATTATGTGAAGGGGCATTTGTAGCGTTTGCCCATGTGATCCGATGCCAAAAGTTGGAAGTGCTGCAAAAGCGGTGAAGTTCAAGGCTGCTCCGCTGGGCGGCTGAATGCTGTTCTAAGCGTGGGAGGCTATCGCCACATAGAGTCGAAACAGACAATGAAGTAATCAACACCCTTTCGCAACAACGATGGCAGTACTCTGAATGCAAAGTGTGTGTCTACAACCGTCATACTCGCCAACTCTGATTCCTCGGATATCGGATCGTCGGTGGATCTGCTTCTCTCACGAAAACGGCTTGGGGCTAAAGCAGCGTCCAACACCGGCGCCATCATGCAACAGGCCTCCTCGCCTGTCCTCCAGCAGCTCCGGTCACTGCACCCTGGTGCCCTTCAGACGCTCCACCAGTCGCCAGACGGAACGCTATACCCCCACAACCAGGTCCTACCGGAGCTCCAGAACCTCCACACGAGCGATGTATACCAACACCAATATGCCCTGAGCGGGCCACAACACCCACCACCACCCTCACATGCCCACGCGCTGCCAGTGCATTTCGAGCAACATGCGCTTCCGCCTTCAGGACCGTACCCGCCTTTTCAGCCGGCGGGCTATCAACACGGCGCGAGTCCACGATTCATGAACGCGCCCCCTCCCCCACTCCAGGACCACGCGCAACAATATCACGCGTCTCCTCCTCAGACGGTACAACGCCCGATTCAACAGCTTCCCCTGCCACCGCCTGCACCGCCCATACTCTCGGCACCGCAACCGCTGCCACGGCATGTAGAACAAGCGCCGTTGCCGCATAAGCAAGAGAGTCAGGAGGAGGACACTCCATTGTCCAACCATGGCCAATTCCAAGGCCTGAAGCTCATCCCCAACCCGCCAGATTTGGAGCAATGGAGGGAGAGATTGTTCCACGTGGATGACATGATTACTCTGACTGAGGAGCAGTATGATCTCTCTCTGGCGCTTGGTACCACGCACTGACCTTGACCATAGATTTCAGACTTACTTCCCGCATATCGACAACGTCTACTCGCATCGCTCGACCCAGCGCCACAAACGGAAGCGCTTCGTGTCACACTACTGGGACTGTCGACTCAAGGGGCGGCCACCAGGAACCAAGAAGTCCACAGATCCAGACAAGAAAAAGAGGAAAAGAGTTGCGAGAGGGCGGGATCTATGCGATGTCAAGATCAAGATCACCGAGTTCTTCGATCGACGCGAGTATGAAGAACAGCTTGGTCGGCGACCGCCAGGCACGGAAAACGATCCGCCTAGCCCGATAGCATCCAACATGCCGATAAACCCAGGTCTTAGTGGAGGCCAGAATCAGAACCCGCAGTTCTTCGGACAACCACCGTTGCTACCACAGCAGCCAGCTGGAACCTGGGATGTACCTCCAAACATGGGTTCTCAGTCAGGGATGAACATGCAGGAATACCCAACATCATCTGGCTCTTCGTCCAAGAAGTTCTATACATTTCAGAGAGTCAATGGGAATGGCGGCAATGGCAAAGGCGACGGCGTTGCTGGGCCACATAAACATACACTCGAAGAGAGCGATCGCGTAAAGAAGAACAGCGTCATCAGATGGCAGGCAAAGATCGACAAAGATGACAGGAGGAAAATGCAGGTAAGCCTTCTTGATCTCGTTCGATCTCAGACTCCACACTCCTTTGTATCGACTCATCTGGCCATGATCATATGCAATGGCGATCCACTCTGCCCGCAGATCAAGTGCATACGTCATTTTGATGCATGCTAAGAACACGGACAACCCCCATCACTTGCTTTGCGCTGATGTTTATGACACTGCCCGCTCTATACCCTGATTTCAAGATTCTCACACTGTTCATGAATTCTGTTTCCAAATTTGTTCGCAAATTGCCTTGTCGTTTATCTTCTCCCTGCACACAACCTCCCATTGTCTTAAGCACTACGTCCTGTTCAAGCCTTGCTTCGTTCCAATCACAATCATCGTTGCGAATCATTAGTGTTCCTGCTCGATACAAAATGACCGACACCAACCAGGGCGGAGATTCTTCCAAGAAGACGTACCACAAGAAAGCCACCGGAAATGCTTTGTCGACAGTCAAGAACCATTCAAAAGAGGACGACCTCAAGCTGTACGGTAGCGCGTTCTGGTAAGTAAAGTTCTCAAGATGCGGACTCACAAAAGCGCTTCGGTCTCACGTTCGTATTTCTGACATTGATCAGTCCCTTCGTGCAGCGCGTATGGATATCCTTAGAGCACAAGCAAATACCCTACCAATACATCGAAGTGGACCCCTACAAGAAGCCCCAAAGCCTTCTCGATGTTAACCCACGCGGTCTGGTACCTGCTATCCGACACGGCCCAACATGGTCAACCCACGAGTCAACCGTCATCATGGAATACCTCGAAGACCTCCAAACCGGATCCCACCTCCTGCCTCCAGATGCACAAACGCGCGCTACCTCGCGCCTCTGGTCTGACCATGTCAACCGCAATATCATTCCATGGTTCTACAAGCTCCTCCAATCCCAAGACTCCAACGACCAAGTTTCCCACGCAAAGGAACTGCGGGATCAGATTGGCAAGCTAGTCGATGCTGCAGATCCCAACGGCCCTTTCTTCCTTGGTCCCCAGATCTCTTTCGTAGATGTACAGATCGCGCCGTGGGTGCTACGGTTGCGCAGGGTGTTGGGACCTTATAGGGGCTGGCCTGAGGCTGAAGAGGGAAGCAGGTGGAAGCGATGGATCGATGCGATTGAGGCGGATAGGAGTGTCAAGATGACTACTAGTACTGATGAGCTTTATTTGGATAGCTACGAACGGTATGCGGAGAATAGGCCGGGGACTAGTCAACTTGCGGATGCTGTTAATAGTGGGAGGGGTTTCCCTTGAGCGCGGATGGGTCAATATCAATACTATAGCATCAGTGAGATAATGTTTTTCATGTTATCAGGTATGATGTGGTAGATGATGTGATTTGAGGTCGGTGGACTGGATGGACTTTTCGGAATGACGTTTGGTTACCAATACATGCTGATTGTGATTATTGGTGCAAATGAGTATCTTGTACGCTGACGCATTGCAAGTCTTGAATGTGTATAGCATGATAGCCAAGGCTGAAAAATATTCACGCTGAATCGAAGGTTATATAACATGGCATATAGTAGTTGAAAGCAGGAAGGAACTACAAAGATATCAAAAAACCGTAAGGATAGTATTCCCGAAGCGCTCTAGTGCTTTCTCTGCATCCTTCTTACATAGTTCCATTACACCCATCCCGATCCTCACGAACACGAGCTTATGTTCTGATGCTTCTGCCGCATTTTGATGGGCCCCCTCAGGCGCCTCAGATGGCTTAAGTAGTAAACCTTGAAGCTCCAGTCTGCCATTCACAGATTGATAATTCCGCCATGGGTACGCTGTACGGATGACCAAGAAGAAAAGAGGTATGTCGGAGCCGTCCTCTAGAAGTGAAGATGAAAGCTTGACAGTGTCATCAAGCAGACAAGAACAAACATCCTGTCTAGTCCACTGATCCTTCTGATCCCAGCCAGGACCACAACTGACGTGAAGGCTTTCAGTGGTAGACGATGTAACGAGGATATTTCCAAATATACAGTGTGGCAGGTTTTTCCTTTCCTTATATTTCTTCCACATGCCATCAAGTGAAAGTAATGGTGCTCGCAGGGTAATGTGCCCCCCTGATACCATGCCCCTGGGATCGTCTGTACTGGGGTAGACGCCAACGTTCAACACCCTAGCTATTTCCGCTATATCACATAGAGCCTGTGGTTTTGCTGAGGGATCATGTACCACGCCTTCGATAGATGCCCAAGACCAAGACGGTGGGTTTGATTGAGAGCCTTCAGGCATTTCTGGACGGCTCCCATGTTCGGTCCACCAAAGTAAGCACGCTGGCATGTGAGATTCCCAAAGTCCCGCTAAATAGTTGTCCTGGTTTCTCTCGAAAGATCGCGTCAAGCTGGATAGTGCGGGTAGTCGGTCCCTGCAAAAGCTGATCTGACGCCGTGTATAGTGCTCAATAACGCTACCCCAGATAGCATTTGGAGTGCGTTGACTGGCACCGATAATTGGTGGTAGCTTGAATCGAGGAAATCAGCAAGTCGTACATTCGCACATGGTCGCTTCACGGCAAACGAAGACAATCTCGTCTTTCGTAAAATGAACAACCCGCCTAGAGAGAAGTTCTTCCTGGAAACACCATGCACGCTTTCGCAATGTCAGCTCCGTCTTTTCTGGAAAAAGAACTGAGTCTTGTTCTCGCATCTCATGGGACTTCATGTCGCGAAAACAGAGAGAATAGGCTTTGCTGTTGTACTCTAGATTGATCCTTGGGAGCTTGTGACGATTCAAAAGGCCTTCCTGTCCGTTCTCTGCGGCAGAGGCCGCAATCGTAAGGTATGCATTCGAAAATATATCTGCCATTTGAGCAGACTGTTGAGCCCAGTCGGCCACAGTGTCTTGTACAATACCTTAAAGGCACAGGCAATCAGCGTTGGTAAAGATGTAGTCTGAGGCTGGTCGAACTTACACAACGAGTCGATCCATATATAATAGATATGAAGCTTGCGTGTCAACATAATTGCTTCTTGGAATGTCTTAGGCAGATCCGTCCACTTGATGCCGTCCTTTGTGTATTCAGGTAGCGTAATCTTGGTAGTCTTGATCATCGGTGTAAAACCCCAACAGTGAGTCAGGGCTACATATCGGATAGTTTGCCCATCCGGTACTACGGTTCTATCTGATGCATCGCACAGTCTTGTTTGGAGCACTGTTTGCTGGTTGCCAATATACAACAAACGCTTAGGAACAAATCTCGCAGTACTGGGACTCAGCGAGTCATGGTACGATTCTGGAGTTGCACATGATTTGTGCTCGAGATTGCAGTTGAATAGGACATTTTTGATAAAACGCGCACAGTAGCTGATCGTTGGGTTGTCACTAGGTAGCTCAGAAGAGGCCAGAAATGGCCACGAGCTTTCATGTCCTATAAAACATCAACTCGATACTCACAGTTCTGGGGAGATTTTCTTTTCGGTGATAGAAATGTTCTTACCGGATGAAAGATAGAACTGTCTGTAAGAGGCTGAGTTGTGAGTAACAATGGTTGAATGGCGTTGGTGCGGTGAGCAAGCTGGGACGTACCTGGATCTGGGTCCATCGCCGTTCCCTCTAGAGTTCCCTCTAGAGTTCCCTCTAGAGTTAGATTCAGCCTCGGAGCATTCTCTAACACATCTCTCTCTAACACACCTCTTCCCCGGGGTGTGACCCGTATTCTGTTGTGTTCCCAGATAGACTTTCTTACTGTGCTTGCAGCCGTCTCACTAACTTTTTGAAGCAGGTCGCATAACTCGCATCCCTTTCCTGCAGCCTTTTTCAGATCACGATACTCTACACTAAAATAGACAGGATCTGGCAACCGTAGCACTCGGCAAATCTCGCACTCTATATCATTCTTCTCGTGATCTTGCTCTTCTGTCGATGACTTAGTTAGATGTGGTGAAGCCGCATCTTCAGAGTGAGGGACACTCGACATTCTGTTACTTTTCAGACTATTGACTGATACTTGGAGTGGTGCTTCGCAAAAGTTGAGATAGAGGTAAGCGTAGAGCACCAAAGAACGGCTGTGTTGATCTGAGCGCGCGATCAAGAGGCAAGGAGAGCTGACATTGCGAAGGCAGTTTGAATCTCAGCCTGATGACGTCAGGCCCATCAGTGACTAGCACACTCCATGGCTCTGTAATCATTGGCTGTGGGGTGTCAGCGAGCCCCGATACAAATGCGCACTCTATCTCCTGCTTCTTGAAGCAGTACGCTACGAATCCTCGTCAGAGGAATTAGGTGATAAGTTGAACAGGAAGAAGCGGATTCACTCCAGTATTTGCGGAGCCTCTCTACTGCTAGTGATGATCTAGCCCAACGAGAGAATTCTTCCCGTATTTGATAGCAGCTGGTACGGGATGAGATGAGTGAAACACTGAAGGGAAGTGCACGCGATCCCTGACAGCCCACTAGCGCGTCTTGCGAGGGGCAATCGCGGGGCACCATCCACATGGTAGCAGTCTCAACACCAAACACGCTCTATACACTCAACCGTCCACACAACCGCCACAATGTTTAAGAAAGAGTGAGTTTCTTACGCGTCGTGTTTGACAGAGATAGCTGACAAGAAGACAGCATAACCTCGGGCGCAAAGTCCAAGGTGAAATCCAGCGCCCAGCGCGCCATCCGCTCAAAAGTCCTCGAAGAATACCCAAGGTTAGAACCATATATCGAAGACATACTGCCGAAGAAGGAGCAATTGGACTTGGTCAAGCTGTAAGTCGCCAATCGAACCTGCAGCGAAGATGCACAAAGTTCACGAAGCCAAGTACTAACACCTGCATTTACAGACCTGACCGCGTATCGCTCTACACCCTCAACTCCACTCCCCTCTTCTTTCAACACATGGACGACGCGCTCCTACCCCACCTCACACTCGTACACAAATACCCCTTCGCCTTCAACCGCCTACGTATAGACCGCGGCGCAATCCGCTTCGTGCTCTCTGGCGCTACACTCATGGCCCCTGGTCTCACATCACCGGGCGGGCGCCTACCAGGTCCCGAGCTGAGCGACGAGGACAAGGAAAAATACGGCGCCGAAGACCTGAAGGAGGGTCAGGTTGTGGTTATCGAGGCCGAGGGCAAGGAGACGGCGTGTATGGTTGGTGTGCTCAAGATGAGTACGGACGAGATGAAGAAAGTCAAGAAGGGGCAGGCGTGTGAGGCGGGTCATTATCTGGGAGATGGGCTTTGGGGTTTGAAGCTGGATTGATCGGGTGAACAAGCAAGGCTTTTGAAGTCACGAGTCTGAAATCAGGTGTATAGGTCCAAAGTTGCGGATGGCGGTAGAGAGTCATACGAGTGAACGGGTGATTAGGATGAAAAGGTTCTGGTCCGGAAGTCACTCAGGCTCTGATGGCAGATATGCCACGACAAAATATCCCGCGACGTGCATGATAGTCATTGATTCCAAGACGGGATCTTCATGAACACAAAACGGATTTGTACATGGTATCATAATTTTAATCGTGAAGACTGCTTTTTGACAGACCACCACTTACACTAGCGATCTAGTCGTTACAGTCGATTCGTATCATCTTATTGACCAGCTCCACGGCCAGCTCCAGCGCCTCCGCCTCCCATGAAGTTACGGGCCCTGTGTTTCGTTAGCGACTTGAGGTTTCTACATGGCTTTCTCACTTACATCTCGGCCAGGTTGGGGTCGTTCATGAGATCCTGCATGTTGGGCATACCGCCACCGCCGCCGCCGCCTCCTCCTCCGCCTCGACCTCCTCCACCGAACTGTTGAGCCATCTCCGCTATCCTGGGGTTGTTCATGAGGTTGCTCATCATATCTGGGTTGCTCATGAGGTTCTGTGCCATTTGCCTCATCATGGGGTTCTGCATCAGACCAGCGAGATCAGGCATTCCTCCGCCACCACCACCGCCGCCTCCACCGAGCATGCCAGCGAGTGCTGAGAGATCAGGCATTCCACCACCCATACCGCCAGGAGCGCCTCGAGAAGCTTCAGGCGCGCCGACATCTCCGCCCTCCTCTTCGACCTTCTTCTTGGCTGTCTCGTAGCCCTTGCGCATGACTTCTGAGCCGCCACCCTCTGCGTCCATGCCAGACTTGTATGCCTCCATGGCGCCCTTTGCATCGCCAAGAACGTACTTTGCAAGACCTAGACGCGACCAGGCCTTGGAGTAGTTGGGGTCAGCAGCAACTGCCATCTCGGCATCCTCCTTTGCTAGCTCGTGCTTGCCCTGACCTGAGTATGCGGCGGCGCGGTTCGATAGGTAGATGGTGTTGAGCGGAACGACCTCGAGGGCAGCAGTGTAGTGCTTGACGGCAGCATCGTAGTCCTTCTTCTTCATCGCCTCGTTGCCCAGACCCTTGAGCCTCTCTGCTTCATCCTTGTTGGGCCCGCCTGGTCCTGAACCGGCGGCAGGTGTCTGCGGCGTTGCTGGTCGGGCCTCTTTGGCCGACGATGCTCCCTCGGTTGTGGCAGTCGTCTTTCCCTTGAGCTTCTCATAGACGTTGTAGATTGCGAGCAGGTTCTGGTCGCCAATGGCGTCCTTCTTTGCGGCCTCGTCGGCGGGATCTACCTTGAAGGCTTCGGCGATGCAGTTGGCGGCGACTTCGAGCTGCTCAGCGTCGTCGGGTGCTACTGACCCGTCCGTCTGCGAGGTCTGGAGGAAGTCAAGGATCGCGAGCGCGAGGCGCTTCTTCGATTGGAAAGCCTATGGTTGTGTGAGCGACTGTTTACTTAGATAAGTGTGGGGCAACTTACCATGACGGCGTGATGTGGATTGTCGAACGGTGTCGCAGGCTCGTTGTGAGGCGTGCTGTAGTGAGTTTCCTGGTAATAAGCTTATGAACAGGTGTTCTGGTAGCTATGGGATTATGGTTGGTTGCGAGTTCTGAGATGCATGCAGCGATACTCGAAGCTTCCAAGGTTCCTTCGGGCAATTGGCGGGGCAGTCAGCCGCCTGGTCAGTGCCAAGCTGCTACCACCAACTTTTGGTATGCACTGTTGCAACCCGCCCAAGGAAGGAAGAAAGAAAGATTGCATGTTGATATCTGACTTGTTGAGGTCTTATACAAGCCGCCGAATGTTGTCATGTACACGTCTACTCTTACACCCCACTACTATATAACACATGCTAGAAGGTGAGATGGGTATCTACAGGTCTTTAATCGTCGCTCAATCCTTCCCAAGCACCCTTGGGCTTCTCCTTCGGCCACAGCGAGCTGAACCATGATCCTTCTGATGGGAGAGACACGCTATTTGCGCGCGCTTCAACCTCGGCATCTAGTGCAAACTTTCGCATGCGCTCAGCAATTCTCGGGTCCAGCACCATTTCGTCTAGCCATACCCTCTCCTTGGTCTCACCTTCTTCACGCTTTCGTGCAGTCTTGGACCAATCTGGCTCTTCGTGAGAGAGCAATCGTTGTTGCTCCCATTGTGCGTTACTGTGTCCATCTTCCTCGTTTGTGACAGGCGCTTCGCCTGCAGTCTCAAATGGTCGGTATGCACCAAGGACAGCAGCGGCAGTTTCCCTGCCAATGACATCCGCCGCTTGTCGCCTGTTCAAGAAACGGTACATACGGATGGGAAAGTTAAAGAATCCAAGGAGGTGGGGGAGAGGTACTACGGCGGCGGGGCCGAGTGCTTGTGGGCAGTTTTGGGAGAGCACGGCGTTTTGGTATTCGGCTGTTGAGATGTATGGTGGCGGTTGCTTCTTTTTCTTGGGTTTCGTCTCCTCCTCTTTAGGCTTCTCGGCATCTTCTGGTTTGGGAGCTTCGGTAGCGGTGGGTGACGCATCATCGGCCGTAGCAGATGTGGTGCCGTCAGTGGACGTTTCGGTGGACACAGGTGTGGGTTCGACCGCAGCGACCGGTACCTCGACAGACGGTTCTGCTGATGGTGGAGCATCTAGAGGTCCTAGCCAACCCTCATGCAGTCCTCGAACATATTCTTTCCATGTGTGTCTTCCAATGACGATGTCTCCTCCCGGTCCATTCCACCCATTGACGCCTGCTCGTTGCCTTAGACCTTCCAACTCCTCCTCGAGTCCTGGTTCCAGCGGCTCAGCAGTCGCCTCGCCCCTCTTCTTTCTCAGCTTCCGTATTCGCTCTGCTAACCCAGCTCTTACATCTCCTTCCCTTCGGCCCTCTACCGCGTCCCAGTCCAGCGCCGCTGCAACGAGAATGGGCTTGACATATTCATGGAAGTGATCGCGTGCGGGTACTATTCCATCTGCTGGCGGTGCAGACAGGAATATCGTGAGTTTCCGAGGCAGCTGGTGTACGTCCAACGGCTCGTGTGCAATGTGCTCGACAACTGTTGCCCATTTCTGTTGTATGCGCTTTTTCTGGCGACGGTCGTACATGACTGCCGCAGTCCATGATCCGGTAATCGAGAGAAATATCATCCAATTGCGCGAGGGGAGCCTCAAGCGGAGGTTTGGCAGGCCTGCATTTGTTAGTCGTTGTACTCCACACGAGATAGAAGAAACGCGCACCCATCATCCTCCAGACAGGATTCGGAGGCTTCTCAGGTTTCTTGGGTCCGGCAGAAGCCTCGCCAGTAGGCGGTGCTTTTGCATCCGGTTCGGCCATGCTGTTGTTGACTGCGATGGTGGTAGCAATGTTGGTCGCGCGCCCAAAAATTTCCTGACGCCCGTCGGCGAGCGCGGGATTGAGTCGGAGCAGGCTAGCCACCAGTCTCAACGACCTTAATTAGCGAGCCGCGTTCCCCACCACAGCCCCTCACCCCTCCTTGCAATTCTTCAGGTTTGGATTGGGACGTTCCAGTGCGTGGGACACAGAACGCGCTAACGAGTACTTCTCAATCTTTGCTAAGAATATAGTTGGAAAAGATTTGGATTTCTTCATCAAAACGAATCACTTCGGGTAAGCTCAATTCGCTCACATCGTCGTTACACACCAGCTAACAACCCTATCGTGGTATGGTCTAGTGGTATGACGTCGCGTTGTGGCTGGCGGACACCTAGTGTCCCGATCCAGATCCGCGCCAGCCTGGGTTCGAGTACGTTTGATCCCTCACAAATGGTGGTCCTGAGACATCTTCTAACATGTCTACAGTTCCCAGTACCGCCAAATTTGCGACATATCTTTTTTGCTCTTGTACTTGACTTAAATCTTTCCACAGGTACCGAGAACATTCTTTTTGCTCTCCTCCACTAGTCCGCATAGAATCTGGGGTGCTTCAAGCGCATTGTTCTCACTGTATCTACTGCCTGTCTTGCATGCGTGTGCTTCTGTATACCTAGGTAGTGAGTCACCTCGCGTAGCAGACAAAACCTCGCTTCCCGACGACCGCCCTTCTCTCGTCACCACCTACACAGCTCTATTGTCAACTTTGTGAAAACTGTAATATATCGTATCTTTCAAAGCTCTTAAAAATGCTTCAGCAATTCAAGCAAGACCAGACACGTACCAAAAATGCTCTCCGGCAGTAAGTATCTCCACAACTTGTAGTCTTCCCAAACTGATCACAAGTAAAGAGACATTCTTTACCGTGAATCACATCTTGCGAGTGTCAAATCAGGTGGGGACAACTTGCTTGCCGCGGTTCATAGCTACACACACGATGCAAACATGGAGATCGTCACACGAGTTTTACAACTACCCCAGGAACTACGTGACGACATATATATGCATCTATGGGAACTCAACGACAAGCATGATCCGAGTCGCAGTCTGCTCTACTGGTGGGATTCTTTCGACGAGCCTTGGTTCTCCAGAGACGATGATCCTAACAAATTACGATGGCTAAGGACACCGTTGATGACACTCCGACCTCCGCACTTCATCGACAAATGCTTTGTAGGACCTGTCTTCGCTAAAGAGGCTCTCAAACAACTTAAAGATTCTGTGGGTAAAGATCTTCGGCCAATCGGGGAGAGAAACCCTGTCGCCGAATGCGGATTGCTCGACGCATCCATGGATGACTTTGTAGAGAAGGACGTTTTTGGAGTTGGGATAACAGTGGAAGAGTTGGTACGCAACTTGGACTTACGGGTAAACTTCCAGTGCGATGCATTGACCGACAACGAATTTGCCGAGATCCAGAAGAGCAAGACACATGATCGAGGATCACTTGGGGCAGGTGCAACGACATACACACGGGACGACTATCTCCGAGACCTCGGTGACGGCGTCGCGGCTCTGCTAAACATTCCACACACGGAACGTGTTACCACTCATAATGAGCATGGTCGACATCTGAATACTAGAGCCAGAGTCATCACCTTAGCAATCAGGCAAGAAGACGACTTCATATGGAGGGATCATTCCGCCATACTAAAACTTGTCGCTCGAGCTTATCACGGACTAAGGGCAAAGGGCTTCGCAGTCAAGGTACAGTACTACAGTGAAGAGATTGAATTGAAATTGTTGTTTGAAGACGACGTCTGGGAGTGGAGAAGCGATGATTGGGACAGGAATTTGATTTGGAAGAACACGTTTGGGATAGGTAGCGGCACCTCACCCCAAAGATACGTTTGGGCACAACTTCAGGAACATTTTTTTCGACGCCTAGATAACGACAGCCTCATCGGGAGTTAAAGAACTATACAGTGGGCATTAAGTACGTGTAAAAACGTGTCAGGGGCGGCCTTGAATAACTTGAAAGTGATACACCAGGTCCAAGTATAAGATAAGTTTGGAAAAAAGATGTTTATGCAGGTCCCAGATATGGCTGCCCTCTCGGGTTGAACGGTTGATCAGCCGTGTCTGGATTTTGCAATTTTGGATCTGGCGCACCCCAGGTGGTGTTGAATCCGCATCCTCAGCTACTCTGCATGGGCAGCAAATCTGAATCTTTTCTCTGCTCTTGACTATCGCCGGACTTGTCGACACTACCACTGCGACCACCACCACTGCTACCAATACCGCCATCGGCCTCGGTGCTCTCACTGTCCCTACTACTTTCCATCGTCGAAGCAAACTGTACAAGCATGTTACCATGCCTAACAGTATCGACGATATCTTTTGGATCCATACCAGCTCTGATTCTTGCTAAAAGTTCTCCCGCCTCCTCCTCCGGCAGATCTCTGAGCAATTGGAACAGTTCTTCCAGATACCTATGTCTCCGTTTGGTCTGCGTGTTCTCCGTTTCCGCGTACTGGCAGGGGCTGTCACGGGCCACGCATTCACTGCAGCTGGGTCGTTCGCCGTTACACTAGATGGTTTGGAACGATCAGAAGGGCTACTCTCGCTGATATTCAAAACCAAAGTTTTATACATGTACTAGGTCATGGTACCTTGCTTTTACGAACTCTGCACGCTGCACAAGCTAGAGGCACGCGAGCTCGCTTCGATTGTGTGGGTGGAGCCTCGTTCCTCGGTGAAGCTGCGGGGAGAAGAGGGCGGAGAGGGCGTGTCGTAGCACTGTCGCTTGGACTAGCTTGATTCAACTGTTGCTGTTACATTCCGCACGAGACAGTACTTGGGCTAAGTTCGCTTGTTCTTTTGAAGGTGACTTGGAAGCAGACTACCATTCCCAGACGCTTTGGTTCAAACAGAGGCTTGAAACGAATCTTTACGCGGCCATAGAGAAAAAGGGGGGTGTGGCATGCAAACTTGGCAAGAGGGTTGAGCAACCAAGAAAGAAAGAGTCTGGACGAGCGAGAAGTGCATAGAACTGCAGGCAACCACAGAATGAGAAACAAGAAAGAAACTGCACTCATCTCCACTTGTACAACTAAAAAATACGGCTAAGTTTATCTGAAAACTTGGCTCTTTCATAACATCAAGATTACCCAAACCTCCGCCTTCTAGATCAGACGTGTCCCTCGTTTCGAGTTTCCTAATTTCGCAGCGAGTCGTGATTCTCATGGATATGTAAAAGTTCGCTAACGGGGCCTTCCAATCGCGTTACTTGTAGCATGATATTGCCACAGGGCTCTGGACCCTGCATATGTATGACTGCCGATGAACTAAGCCCTAAAGGTACTATGAGGGTTTTGTACTCGGATGCCATTGTTTGTGATTGAGGCTATTTCGTCTTGGTTTGCCATGTAAGAATGCGGTCCAAGCAAAAAGCAGCCGGCCATTATCTCCGACGCTACCGTATCCGCTTTTACTCGTGAGTGGTGTGTCACAACGGGTTCCGGCAGTGCTAAGTGTTGGGAGTCTTGTGTATCGCCGATTGCATGTAGTGTCTGCGACTTGTTGTACTGTAGAGGGTGTCGGCGCGGGGGCTGACTGCTAAGCGCCGGTTATACGTTCTGGCTTCGGCGTCCCACTGCCTAGTCGGCATGATACCCAGAAAATCGTACTGTTTCCTCAGCGATGATGGTCTAGCCCTCTCTTAGTCTCTCTACGAATCCTATCAGAGAACACCTGGATTAGTATAGACTTCATTGATCTGCGACATTCAGGGCAACATCCCGCGAAAATAGTACATGATGGCTGCCCAAGCAGTGACACGAGAAACGACAACAACGTGTGTACAATAGATGAATACAAATTTCATTCCAACGAGGAAAAGCGAGACATCAGGAATATAGGCTAATACTACCAACACAATAACTCCTTCATGCACGAACGACACCCCTTTCAACATCAACTGCGTACATACCTGCCTGCAAGAGATTCCCGTCCCGAACCAATATTACCCTAGAACCCGGGCCGTCTCAAACAGGGACTTCAATTGCGTCAAAGTAAACAGGAGTACCATCCTAACTGTATCTCCTCACGGCTCTAAGCTCCGCGGAGCAGCCCAGGTGTCGATCCCTCTCAAGAGACTCATACCAGACGGAGATTGCAGACACCACTACGCGGGCTGTCACGACTGTGTTGGTACAGTGCGCGGCGCCAATCAAAAGCGGGGGTTGCTTCGGAACGAGTCCCTGTTGGAGTGCGGAAGTTTGTGCCGCTCATCCTCGCAGACCCTGGTGGAGTTTTGCTTATAGTTGTGGGGACTGTGGCGTGTGTGTGGATATACAGTTGAGCTGCCACTAGTATTTTTCAGCCTGGATGATATCGGGAGATGGCGACGCCGTGATCCGCAATGGAATTCGTTGTGCAGCTGTTGTGGTTGTGGTGGTCCAGGGTGTCGTTCAAGCCTTGGGGTCTCTTGGGAGGCCTCAGTGCGAGCGGACGAGTCAGTACCAAACACGAATCAACTCGATTCGTCCGTACACGCAACTTCTGTTGCGCTTTCGATTCTATGGCACCATAGCATGATAAGATTCGTGTCGCATTGGATACCTGCAAAGAAGCTTGTCTTCCAGAAGTTGTATCAGATACCAGAGACAGAGATGTAGATTATCCTATATCTTATTAGCCTATTCAGGAATATGCACAGTGAGTGCCTTTGGATATACGTCTAACAGTACACAAGCCTTTCCACTCTCTGGCGGCGTTACTTCTATGTGCTACTGCCCGCGCTCCTGCACACTGCCTAATTTTCAGTTGCTACATGGCCATCACACATTCTCCTCCAAGAGCAAAAGCACAATTCAGAATTCAGTAGAGGACGGAAGTAAACGATCTGGAAACTTGGGCATTATTATACTAAAGTGATTTCGTCGCGAGATATGACATGACCTCGTGCAATGTTATCCGTCGTCGCGCTTGACCTGAATCGTCGACTACCTTAATACTCAAAGTCATCATCAGCACTTGGCCCCTTGTTCTTACTGACACTCTCCTGTCTTTGATACATCTCAGCAATCATGCGACTAGAGCTGGCCTGGTCTGGCTTCTTGTCATCTCTCTCCTTGATGAACCTGGGGAACCTCAAACTGACACCCTTGCCACCACCAGAGACCTCATCCGCAGCAGCTCTGTACCGCGGTGACAAGGTCAGATCGGCCGTCTTTACTTCCCAGACATAGCGCGGCTCGAACCAGACGTCGGGCTGGTCTTTATTGCCGGTGGAGTGTGTGTAGAAGGGTTTGGGGCGGTCGATAACGATTTCGGATAATGTCTTGTGCAAGGTCTCGAGAATGGCCTCCGAGAAGCCGGTACCAATGTTACATACTGTCTCATACTTCTCGGTCGAGGGGTTGTAGCAGGCGAGAAGGAAGGCGCCATACCAACTTGTACGCTTGCCCTTGCCATAGTACGCTCCTAGGACGACGAGATCCAGAGAGTCGCCGACACCAGCAAGATAGTCTTTCTTGACCTTGAGCCAATTCTGTGAGCGCTTGGATGGCTCATAGAAGGACTCTGGTCCGTCTAACATCTTTACCATGAGTCCTTCGCTTCCTGACTTTACGGAGTCTTCAAGGAGGGTTTGGATCTCTTCCAACTCGTTGGTGTTACCATACTTGGCGAACGCGAATTCTCCTTCGACAGGTACAAACGCTTCATTGAGATGTTCACGACGCTCACGGAAGGACTTGGTCACAAGGGCCTATGAATGTTAGCACTGACACGATAATGAATGAAATCAGACAAACTTACCTCGCCGTTCAGGTAGAGGATGTCGAAAGCGAAGACGCAGACTTTTACCTTGACGTCTTCGACCTTGACATCTTTCCTCTTTCGCGTCATGAGTTGCTGGAACGGTAACACTTTCTTTTCTACCATGTCCCAAGCCACCGTCTCGCAATCAAGAACGAAGCTCTTTGTACCTTCTTTGACCCAAGTCGGTAGTTTGGCGAGAATATCAGGGTACTTCTTCGATAGATCCTCAGAATTCCGAGAGAAGATGTTCGACACACCTCGGTCACTCTTGCCAGCGCTTGGAGCTATGGTTGCCAACTCCATCTTTTCACCTTCTTGCTTTGCGTCATGCGCAACAAAATGTATCTGCGCCCGCTCACCATCGTACTTGTATTCGCAGGTGAAGTCTTTACCTTCGAAGCGATCGAGCACTTCTGTAATTGACTTTGTCGGTTTTGCCAACATAGGCTTAAGCGGTACACCAGGCTGTAGGCGGCAGTTCTCTCGCAGGTTCATGATACCATGTTCGAGCATTGCGGGGATAATGACTTCGTAGCTGGGAAGCTCACTATAGACTGTTTTCAGCATGGCCTCGGCCTTTGCCAAGTCTGCTGTTGATGGCGTCTTGCCCTCCTGGGACATGTCATGGAATATCATAGCTTGCGCAACAGCGACTACGACAGTCTTCTCAGCAAGACCTAATCGAAGTTTTCCTTCTAGTGTTCGGACGATGAACTTGGCTTCGCTAGGCCCACCCTTGTCCTTCTCGATATCGATATGCTTTCCAGCGTTGTGCGCATCGGCTGCTGACAGGAGCTTCTTGATGCCGTCGACCTTGCGCCCTTGAGCTCCCTGTCCCTCAACAGTAGCAATGCCCATTAGTCCCTTTCGTACGCCTTCTATGGTTAAAGACTTGGGCTTGAACATGGTGGGTTGTTTCGAGCGACTCTTCGCTGCAACGAGCCCTAGATCACCGATCTCATTCTGGTCACTCTTGATTTGTTGCAAGTTTCGTCCGGTACTCTCAGAAATAGCCTTCATGATAAGAGACTCGCCGATACCCAGCTCGATGCCTGCGTAGTCGGCTGCGAGTTTGTTGACCATTAGCATAACAGTCGGTAGCATATCAGATGGAGTTAATCGTAGCACTTGACGAAGGAAAAGTGAGCAGTGGGCGAGAATCTCGAGACGTTTTGTCGTCATCTCGATTTTCGAAAACGTTGTGCAGAGTGCGGCGTATGGCACTGGCTCACCGGGTTTCCAGTCAGGATATGGGTCTTTGATGTTGGATGAAAGAGTAGTCTGGACCTTCTTCCTCGCCTTGGTCTTGACCTCTTCTGGTTCCTCCTCTGAGCTCACCACCTCATCTTCCTCTTCCTTGTTTGAAACAGCATCATCCTCCACAGGCACAGGTGACGATTCGGCCCCCTTCTTGCTCTTTGCAACCTTGGTTGGCGCTGAGACTTCCTCGTCATCATCTTCTGGTGTCGCAGCTTTCGGTTTAGCGGCCCTCTTCTTTGACTTTTCTGGTGCTTTGTCGGCCTTTGGCTTCGCAGGAGCTTTCTTCGGGCTGTTCTTTCCTTCGGTAGTTTTCCGTCGTTGGCGTTTCGTCGGGGGCTCTTCTTCGGATTCTTCCTCTTCTTCCTCTTTGATCTGCCTCTTCTTTCCCGTGTCAGATGCTGTACTGTCGACTTCCATGGCATCGTCGTCCGTCTCTACCTCTTTCTTAACCGGTGCCCTGACTTCTGCATCCGAATCAACGTCGTCATTCTGCCCCTCTTTCACTTCCTCTGGCGATGAGCGAGGCTCCTCTTTGGTCTCTACCTCGTTCTTTACAGGCTTCGGTCTTGTGGAAAAGGACAGTTTCGATTGCTGCTTTGTTGCGTCGCCGTTGGGTTTTCCGAAGAACTTTCTGTAGACACACCGTCAGTATCGCAGGATAACTCAATGGATACAGTCCGATGTTGCCGCCGCACCCTAAAGTAGTTTGGGAAGACTTGACATACCCGAGAGTAGCCTGCTTGGGAGCCATGGCTACGAAAGTGCGGACGTTGTGTGCGCCACTAGGCTGTTGAGGGTAATTGCAGCGCAGGAAGATGGATGAAGATTGCAATGGTCGAATTGAAGGCAGTAGAGTCAATTTGTAACGCGGTGTGAAAGAGCAACAGGCAGCATTGAAGCGGAAGGGCATGCTCTGAGGATGGATTGAGACGGTGGTCTAGGCGGCAGGCGCGTCGCGCCTGCCTGCCGAAACGCGAAAGTTGAACGGACCCCCGACCCCTGCTGACATCATTAAGCCGACATGGATTAGGCGGCATCTTGAGCATCATCACTTTTGACACATACAGTCTCACAACCCTACAAATCATCTTGTCTACTACTATCGATTGTCTTCAAGCTGGCGACCTACTTCTGGAAACGCTCGGAGCCGTCTACTTCCACTACCCCCTCCCAGCCATCATCGCCGCTCAAGATGTCGAAACCCTCTGCGCAACCTCGCCTCACGCCACAATTCTGCTTCAACCAGACCGCACTGCGAGGTCAGCACCCCAACTGATTTGCTAGCCAGCTCACTAACTAATACACAAGTCGGCTGAAACAGACTTTCTTCGTATATCACGCGGCGCGATTGATGATTCCATCACACAGAACCTTAATGCTCTTCTTACACCAGCGCAACGAGGCTTCGATCCGACATCCACAAGTACACGACAGCTGCCATCGCCCGGCCACGGTCGGTCGTTAGAACCAGAACAGTGTGAGGGTTTCAAAGAGAAAGTGCTGTTCCCAAGCTGGGCAGTACGATCGGATGTACTAGACTATTGCGCGGGTATTGCGACATCACCGGATCCCGACAATCCGGATAGTGTATTGCGGCAGATTGAGGACTCCAAGGCACGAGAACGGACTGTGGACGAGCGATTAGATCCATACTCGGGACGTTATTTCCCACAGGAAACAAGAACAGAGAGTCTAGCCATGCTCATGCGCAACGAGCGGGCGGTTGAGAAGATCATACGGATGAGGACGTGGAGCATGCTGGGCGAGCGGTGCGGCATGACCAACGAGACAGCCGAGGTGGCGTTCGACAAGTGGAGAGAGATGCAACGACGATGAAGTAGTCTAAGTCGCTAGCCTCTGTATATATTCGACGTATAGACAGCATTGTAGTATGTCATACAATCTCCTCTCCTTGCATATGTCAAAGTATATAGCGATGGCGCATGCGTGTACGATGAATTACGCTCCCAGATTTCCGAGGGCCTCAAGACTGCAACTTGAATAACATGGTCGCATACAGTAGAAAGCGCTCAGTCCAGACTGACGTATTCCCAAAGCTAGCACAGCAGCTTCGTACGTCGGCGACGGGCGACCACAAGGTTCGCATTGTAGAGTGCTGCCCCACAAAAACGCCAAAAAGTCTCTGCGCAAGACGTCCGAACAGCAGTTCAACGACAACGAAGAACAGTGCAGCACGCAAGCATTCAGACAACGGCTGTCAACGCGTCTCACTCAGAAAACACAATGTATCGTAACATAAAGGAATGTCCCACACCACCCCACAACTCCAATCCATCTTTTCACGGATAATTGCAATTGGTAGGAAAGGCAGGCGGTATCGATCTACGGGGCCGGGAACGGAGAACTATCCACAGAAGAAAGAGGGATAACTCTCAGCAAGCCGCTTTCGCGGAGCCACGATTTTTAGGTATGTAGATTACCAACTGATGATGGAGAAAGGGAAGGAGGGACGGAGAGCTGCGTGGTTTTGTACACGACGCCAAGCCGCTAGTAAGTGTTAGTCAGCGTTGCGCACAGAGCTGGAAGAGTCTGCGGTGGGCTGGGAAAAAGTTCGGTAGTGGGGCAGCGTGCGGAAGAGAGGTTGGGAGCATCGCATTATGGCCGTGCGAGACAGAGAATTCAATAGACAACCGGACGTTACCCTTCATCTGGATAGCATAGGCTCAAGACGAGGGTCCAGTTCCGGTGCACGGGTCAGGTTCAATATGAGGGTAGAGGCTCAAAGATATGGTTCGGGTTCACACGACAACATATACAGTCAAGCATGCACAGACGAATGCAAAAGTATAGATGATCAACGGGTTCATGCATGCATTCAAGCTAGCTAGACCCATCGGTTGGTATTCATTCCATCGAGATTCCGTAAGATCGTAATCCGTAGCGAGTCGTCTTTCGACAGCCAGCTACGACATAACCCAGCAGAAGTAACGACCGACCCTCTAGTAGAGGCGCTTGGGGGGGCTCATGGTGGCCTTGATGGTCAAGGAGCCCACGTTCTGCCATCCCTTCTTAAGAAGAGAGACGAGGTAGTTGATGGCCAACATGATGTTACCGATCAACTCGTCCTCAGTCATGCCAACGTTGCCAATAGCGACACCCATGCAGAGAACCTTCTTCAACTGGAACTTGATGGTGGACTTGACTTCGTTCATCTTGTTGGCGAGGTCCTCAGCGTGGGAGACGGGAGTGGGGAACTTTCCAGCCTTGGAGAGACCGGGTCCGAGGAGACGGGGAATCTGCTTGATGAGGGCGTCGGAGGCGATGAAGGCATCGTACTTCTTGGCGAGCTTCTTGATGAGCTTCTTGTTCTTGTTGAGCTTCTTCAAGTCGTCGGTGCTCATGGCGTCGACGCCATGGTGCTTGGCACGGTCAATGTCGTGCTGGTCACCAAGAACGCAAAGGCTCATGCCTGGTATCTGTTAGCCTGCGCCCTTGTATTGGCATGCTGATATCGACTTACGAGGACGGGGAAGGGTGGGGAGCTTGATGGTTCCAGAGAAACGCTTGTCACGCTGGGGGTCGTAGTTCTTGAGACCGATCTGGAGCTCGACGGTCTCGAGGAAGTTCCTCTTCTTGGTCTCGTTGGAGTACTCAAGGAGCTGTTGAACGTTCGTGCGAACGCCGGCGACAGAGATTTTCGACATGTTGGCTGATGTGTCTCCCAGAGGATATCGTTTCCTTTGGTGGCTCTGTACGGTGGTGGTTGAAGAAAAGAAGTGGGTGGCGGCGGATTTGGTGCATTGTGGACGCGAGGCCGCTAGCGAAGGTTGCGCTAAGCCGTTTTGGCGCGGGTGTGACTGTTACGCAGAACGCCGATTGAGGGCAAAGGGCTGAGCATTCGGCAACTTGGACAAGGCCCCAATATTCATGTACGCTGCAGACCTGCAGATTTGCTTGCTTGCTAATATCATCACACGTGCCCCCCATATCACTAATACGGGAATACGTCTTTATAGAAGCACGCTTGCATTGCCCATCTGTATGAAGAAAATGATATATATAATACAGTACACTTGCTTTTCCTCCTAGGATCCGTGCATTGATGAGTGCACTACGCCATGCAATGCCCGAGAACTCCTCGCCATGACCATGAGTGTTAGAAGAAAGTAACAAGGCAAGTGAAGGAAGTAGCACCTGCAAGATACAGTGTTGCTACGGGTATCCCATGTGAGAAACCCTAACGCCATAACCGCACCATTTTCGTAAGCCAAATCCGATCGAACTGAGGGGTATGTCGTCTACGCGTGCTGCCGCGCCAAATGAAGCAAAGCCGAAGCCAGAAATACACAGAAGGCGAAGAGGGGGTATTCAGGAACGCTGAAGTGACCCGGCCAGATTGTCAATGTTGAGTGTAAGAAGCCGCGCAGCCAGTCCTTTTAATGCATAAGCTGCTGGTTGTTCGCGGCATCGACGACGTTGTCGGAGAGGTTGATCAGGAGTTGGGCAAGACAGCGCTTCGTGGCCGCATCATCTCGTAGAACTGAGGAGAAGGTGGCGTCGCGGAGAGGCTCTGGCAGGCACTGACGCAGCGCTTCACGAGCACGGGCGTTGTCGCTCAAGCTGTTGAAGTTAATCACATGTACAAAAGGCAGAGATAGGAGAAACTTACCGGAGAAAGCAGCGCACAACGTGCTTGAGCAGGCGGACGGTTTGCTGCTCCACAAGCTGGTTGACCATGTTGCTAAGTACGGTGCCTACAGCATAGAAGCGCTCATAAGTCTGACATATGTAAGCAAGACCAATGTCATCTAGCAAGATCTTCTGGACAATAAATATGGCCACTGTCTTGCTGAGCTCTGAGCCGGTCTCCATGATACGCAGACAAAGCGGGATGATCTCAGTTGTCAGGAGGAAGTTGATGACTTCGGAAGAGTCGTTCTTGACAAGAGCACCGATGACACCCAAGGAGGTAAGACGGAGGTATTCGAAGGGTCGCGACTTGGACGTTGTGTTGAGGAATGGGTAGAGGAAGAGAGGAATGTGTGCTATAGGTACGTTAGTCGCGTCGCCTCAGTGCAGTTGGCATCTGACCTACCGCTCAAGAACAAGCCACGGGTTTCGGTATGAGAAGCGACACATTGAAGAAGCGCAAGAGCGTTACAAACACGGTTTGAAGCAGCGGCGGTCAATTGCGAAGGGTTGAGCAGCGGGTAGACGGAGATGATCTCTTGGAGGAGGGAGGCCATGACACCTAGGGTCGTTAGTATCCAGTCGCATGCTCGATCATACAATTCTCGTACCAAAAGAGTGCCAGAGAATCAGAGCCAGCTCCGGAACTTGTTCTCGCTTCTTACTCAATTCCAAGAGAGCCGCTTCACGCGTGGTAGGCTTCATGAGCTGAGCTATCCACTCCAAAACGCGCCTGTTCTCCTCCGTCATTCCAATATCGGATGCCTGAACGTCGTTGGCGGGCCCGCGGGGAACGGCGTTATTGCCGGGGATAGCGGTGCCATTATTGGCGGCGAGTTGTTGGTGATACTGTCGTTGGGCAGCCGCCTGGACAGCCTGGGCCTGTTGTTGGGCGTGCAACTGTGCGGCTTGCGCTTGATGTTGTCCGTGCTGACCTACATGATGCTGGGGCTGCTGGTGATGGGCTTGGGTTTGAGCGGGCCAGTCGCCGTACTGCTGCTGCTGCTGCTGATGCGCGAGGAAATGTTGCATTGGCCGCGAGTACCGACAGGTTCGTATTGATTGTGGGTGGGGGTAAGGTGGGAAGGTCTCCGCGACTATATATGGGGAGCGGCGATTGCTTGGAGCGGGCACGTGAATTCAGGGTCAGACAGTGGACAATCAGGCGTGGTGAGTTCGTTTTGGCGGCACTCGAGAGATGAGGTCGCGAAACACCCCACTGGATCCAACGCCTTGGCGGCGCACGCGGGAGCTCGAGCTTTCGACCGAGATCGACGCCGCCTCCGCATCAGGTGAACCTTAGGCAGCCGCCTGTACAGTGAGAGAGCCGTACAAGAGCAGCCTCACCATAGTGAAGTTGGGAGGCAACCGCGACATGTTTCCAGAGGCATATGATGCACATCAAGGGTCCAAAAAGGGTACAACTCCGCGAGTTTAGTCAAGAAACTAATCAAGATGTATAGTTTGAGATCTAAGACCTTCCGTCTCGTCTGCTACCAACCACCCGAACTACTACAGAAGGATGACAAAGGAGATTCGTGGGCGTTCTTACCCGTAAACTGTGCTTCAGCCATACTTCCACACCAACGAAGAATTACAATTCACATAACAAAGCTCGTAGAAGTGAACATTTCCCACTGATGCCAAAAAATGATCAAACGCTCCCAAACACCCACTTCAACCTAGACTATCAAAGCCTCAGCTCTGACAGGATAGTCTGAGCCATATTCTTGTACTGCCATGTACCTCCATCCACTTTCTTAAATTGGATGCCGTGCAGCGTTAACAGCGGAACCTTGACGATCAAGATCTCGAACACAAGACTCATGCTTGAGCCCATGTCACTCTGCACATGTGTCGACGTTTCGCCCGCAGGTATTGCGCGTCGCGGTCGTCGCTCATCCCGTTCTTCGCTGCCATCAGACTCGTCGGTATTCGTATAGCTCTGGTCCGCAGGTGATGGCCGTGATCGCGATTTCGGCGTCTGCGGCGCTCGATTTTGCTCCCGGAACTCGTCACGGTCTCTATCGCCGCCGCCCATGAACCCCCCGAAGCTGATCTTCCTCTTATGGGCCCCGCTCGGCGGGGAAGCTGGCGAATCCATGGGCTTGTTCATATCAATACTGGGTGCATGTCGGCATCTAAAACCACCTTTGACTTCACTCCACTCGACCCCAAGTTGATCAAGCACCCTAATCAGATCATCCTGGATGACAGGCAGTGGCTTGGTGCTTGTCGTAGAGACGCTGAAAAGACCTTTGAGAAACACAGGCTTAACAGCGTCTGGACTTCGACTAGCTTCTGCCTGTGCTTCTGCCAGCTCTGCATCTGTCTCTTCGGGTACGTTTGCTTCCTTCGCTTGCTCTCGCTTTGCCCTCCGTGCTTGAATACTTTCTCGTCGCGCATGGCCGAGCGACTTCGCCCGCGACGCCTGCATAGGTCGCGGGCTCGATGTAAGGTCATCAGAAGCAGCATCGTTGGCTGGACGAACCTTGTGCGCACTCAGCTCGGATCTATCTGACCCACTTGTGGGAGGAGGGTTTCCAGGGTCTTCCGAAGATCGTCCACGGCGACTGAGTCGCCTCCGGAGATCAGCCGAGTTAACGCTTGTGGAGCGGCCAAGTGCTTTCAGCTTCCGAGCGGCGCTGTTGCCGCTGCCAGGAGGGGAGAGCAGTTCAGGTTGGTTATTTGCACTGTTTGTGCTCTCTGGAAGATGCGGTACAGAGCCTTCGTCACGGCCACGCGCCCTTCGAATGCTGAAGCTTTTTCTCGGTACGGAAGCTGGCGCCGGGGCAGGCTCGGCGGGACTGGAAATTGCAACGGCCGGAGTGGGTGGAGGCATAGGCTCAACGGTTCGGTCTTTGTCATGACTTCGGTACTTTCTGGTACTGAAGCGGCGTAACAGACCAACAGCGGCACCCTCCTTCTTTGGCTGTTCAGCCTGAACGTGAGGCGGCAGCACTGGGGGTGGATTGTTGAGATCCACTCTTTTCAGGCCCTCGGTGAGGTCATCCTCTCCATGTGTCCTAGCTCTCGGTCGCGACCTTCCACCTGTAGGCTTTTCGCCTGCCATCTCGTAGGCAGCTGAGTTGGTATACGCTGCCGGTGGGGGTGGAAGATCTGGCATCTTCAGTGGCTTCTCGTCTGGCTCCTGAGGCATGGCGGCAGGACCTGGGTTTGCTTCTTGTCGTTCACGGTCTCTCTTTTCTTTGACGAGGAAATAGACAGAAAGCAGAGGACTGTATGCGTTCACTGGGTCCATTCCCCGTTGGATATCTTCAGACGATGAAGCTGTCAATTGCTCCCGACTTCCAATGGAAGTGCGTCTCTTGTAGAAGTCGAACATACCCCTCTTCTTCTCTGCTTCTGGTGTTTGAGCAGTGGCCCTGCGAGCGGCTGTTCGAACCGCACGTTGATACTCCTCCGACTGGATGACATTGGTCAATTGTGTGGTAATGTATTCAGTGGTACCAAAATCGAAACCCTGCATCTTCTCGATGATCTCGCTGTCCAGGGGTAGTTGCACGGGTTCTCTGTGAGGCAGGTAGTTTTCCGGAGGACTGTTGAATCCCTTGGTAAGCCAGGGATGGCTCATGATTTCCGAGAGAGTCAATCGCTGAGTTGGGTCGGTCTGGAGCATTCTGTGGATCAGATTGCGGCATTCTGGATACGGTCAGCTTGAGAGGAGATATTGTCTTTGGACAACATACCCGCAGATAGCCATGGAGGATAGTCAACATGGCCCTTCTTAATCTTGGCGTGAAGCTGCGGCATGCTCTGGTCGTCGAACGGCACCTTGCCGCAGACGAGGACGTACAATACAATGCCGAAACTCCAGACATCAACCTCGGGGCCAGTATATTGCTTAGCCTGGAGCAGTTCTGGGGCGGCAAAGTACAGACTTCCACAGAACGTCTTTAGCTGATTTCTTGGTGAGAACAAGTTACTCAACCCGAAATCAATAATCTTGATATCACCCATCTTGCTAATAAGGATGTTCTCGATCTTAAGATCTCGATGCACAATGCTATTCCTGTGGCAGTAGTCGAGGGCACTGGCGATCTGTCGAGCGAACTTGCGCGCCTGCTTTTCCTTCAAGCGGCCGTGAGAGATGATGTAGTCGAGCATCTGCCCGCCGTTGACGAACTCGAACATCATGTACCAGTGGAAGTTCGTGCGCACCACATCCTTCATGCCGCATATGTAAGGGTGGTTCAGCAGACTGACAATGGCGGCCTCCCTGGCTGTGCGGACTTCTTTGGAGTGGTCGGCTCGTTCACGGTCGGCAGCGCTCTGGTGCTGGTCTTGGGACTGTCGGGGTACGATCTTGACGGCGGCCTACGGGTGGTTAGCACAGAGCCTTGGCTGTCATTGTGTTGCAGTATGCGCGATTAAGCGCATGCCCCTCCATGTGCCAACACGGTGACGACCAGAGATACACACCTGCTCCCCAGTCTCGGCGTTCTTCGCCAGCTTGACCTTGCCCATGCTGCCAGCGCCAATTGTCTTTCCTAGCGCCCATGTTCCTGTGCTGGGCGCGGTGATGGTGGTCCTGCGCTTGTTTACGGCCTGAGGCTGGCCCGGCCTGGCTTCGGCAGCTACGCCGTTGATGGGCATTGCGGAAGTTGTCGACGCGTCAGACGCATACCGCGAGTGGCTTCGTCTGCTGGATTCGGTGCGGGCTGGGTCTTCGCTGCGACGTGAGGGCTGCTCCTGGGCGACGTTGCTCTGCTCGTAGTCTCTCCGGGCGACGTTGGGGAGGCCGCTCTGCTGCTGATGGCGGCTGGGCGCGTGTCCAGTGGGCCGGCTCTGGGTGCTCTGGGAGCGTTGGGGTCTGTCTACGGATCTGCGCGAAGAAGAGGAAGTGCGCACGACTGCGGGCGATGATGGGGCGGCGGCCGACATGGCGAATGCTCTCTACCACGGTACGCGCAACGCAGGGAGCAGATGCAGGCCTCGATTAGCACAGACGCACAGGGCGTGGAGCGAGCGCAGAAGCGACCACCGGCAAGGCTATCGTGACAATGTGAAGAGATTACTTTGTCGCTCCTCGGTGGGTAATGCGGCGTAAGTGTACAAGAGGTTAGGGGCCGGTGGACGGTTGTGGTCGCGAAACTTGGCACAGGCGGCTGCGTGTTGGGTGTGCGTCTGTCTGGACGTATGCAGGTCCCAGGGCAGCCAGCACCGGGTTACAGCAGATGAGCAGATGCAGGATCCAAGTCGAGGACAGCATGTATTACGGCCAACGCGAGCTTGTGTGTTGTTTTGTTCATGTCTATTTCCGGTTCGAGGCCAAACGCGATAGCTCCCTCCTTCCACGCCTAGCTCGTCTACCAATACCGCGCCAGGTTGGGCCGATACGGTGGGGTAGGTACAGCTTCGGGGCCATGCATTCATCCTGGCTTTCACCCCATCTACATGCCTATACCCTTCGTCTTCGAGACAAAGACAGCATCGCCTCCTGACGCCTTCGTCTCCAGAACATTGTGTTGCTGGCGCCATATCAGGGTCCCTGGCCTTAGCCGCGATACCAACCATGCTTTTATGCTCATTAGGCCCAAAGACCCAGGCGCGGCACGACATCATCGGGCCCACTCTAGCTCACTAACTCGTTAGTTCAACGGCAGTCAAGTCGACAAGAGCTGAGCAATGTGCGGTGAAAGCCATCTATTGTAGGCTTCGAGTCTGGTAGAGCTGTGCACTGCCTGCTTCGGGGCGCATGCAATTCATAGCTCTTACATACCTCGTGGCTGCATTTAGTTGGGTAGACTAACCTAGCCAATGAGACGGCGGCTGATTAGTCACCTACCCGCCCGCTTGCTCGTGATCGCGCGCTCCAACTTTCCTTCGCTTGACTATAGGGCAGACCAAGTCCATCAGATGCAATAGTCAATTTCTGTATAGAAGAAACTGACTCGCCACCAATTACCACGAATTACGCGACCCTGTTCCTGCCGTTACAATGGCATACAAGCGGCCGCGCGCGCCTTCTCCAACCAACGCCCAAAAGCGTTCTCGCGGCGGACAAACAGCCTACATATCCCTTGGCACCGAGCTCCCTGATGAAGATGGAGATGACGGGGCTTTCGTCCCTGTGTGGAAGCAAACTGTAACAGACGAGAAGGGTAGAAGGAGGCTTCACGGCGCATTCACTGGAGGTTTCAGTGCAGGGTAAGTTTCCGAGCCACACCTTCCACGAACGTAAGACTTCTTGACTATGCTAAGATACTTTAATACAGTTGGATCTAAAGAAGGATGGACCCCGAAAACGTTCGTTTCCTCCCGCGCAAACCGCAACAAAGACCAGCCTAGTGGTCAAGCCCAGCGAGCCGAAGACTTCATGGACGAGGAAGATCTGGCGGCAGCAGCAGAGTCACGGCAGCTAGAGACTGCGCAAAACTTCGCTGGTATAGGCGAAGCTGGACGCGCGAACGACGATGGACTTTTCGGCCTCTTCGTAACTCAGGAAGAGACAATGGGAGTGAAGCTCGCGCAGAAGATGGGCTGGCGACGAGACCAGGGCATTGGTCGCAAAGTGCGCCGAAATGCCGACCTTGAAGATGGTGCATCCGGTTCCAAGGACGAGTCAGCTCATATGTTTGCACCCCAAGATGCTCGGATCATGACCTTGCCACGAGAAGAGGTCCGTCGCAAAGGCTTGGGATACACATCAGAAGCCCGCTTGGGCGTTGTAGAGGAAAACGCTGGGGACCAGTCATCCAAGTTCGACCTGCACTATCTCGAAGGTCCGAAGAAGGCATCAACCGTAAAGAAGCCCGGGCTGAAGAAATCTTCTTTTGGGGTTGGTGTGCTCAACGACACTGGTTCTGACGACGAAGATCCTTACGAACTGGGCCCAAAAATTACGTTCAATAAGACCATAGGCAAAGAGAAGAAAGTGAAGAAGCCCAGCAAGTTCGCCAAAGCAGGAGCGGGAGAAAAGGTTGTCTTTGTTCCGAAGAAGAGTTCGTCGAAGGCTTTGGTCTCGCTAAGCAGGCCATCTATAGATGGAAGATCTCCGTTACCTGGTTTCATGTTTGCGACTGGTCTCACAGACACTACAGGCAAGCCTAAATATCCTCCGCCGAAGATACCACCCGGCTGGAAATCTTCCAAAAGCGCCACTCCAACTTCGGAATCGAAAGAGTATCAATCCGTAGCCGACGCGGCGAAAGCATCAACACTGGATGCAAAGGGTCGTTCAGCACTCTTGGGTGAGAAGGCTTTGCCCGGAAAATCCATTTTCGACTTCATACCCAAAGAAGCTCGAGACCGTCTGGCTGCAGTATCCGGTAGGGCTGATCTACCCCAAGGCTTGGGAGAGGCTGCTCCTGAAGGGCATTTACCTGCGAACAAAGCCCAAGCAAAGGATCTGTGGGGCCTTGTGCCCAAACTCGAGAAGAGCGTGGCAGCTGCGGCGCTGGCCAAGGGGGCGACTGGCTGGATGCCATACGAGGAGGATAAGGCGAAGCGTGCACGCTATGTTAGCTTTTTAGAGTTGAAAGCAGGACTGAAAGAAGATTTGCCAAATCGAAACGATGGCGTATCAACCACAGATTGGGTCAAGGAGCTGCAGGAGTTTGCACATGCTGCAGAGGTGTTCAAGCCTACGACTGGCATCATGGCATCCCGGTTCACGTCTTCCTCGTCGTCTACCCTGAATGGGAGTGGTAGTGGAGCAGCGACTGACAACCTTCTACGACAACCAGCCGCAAAGCCAGAGGATCCTGCAGAGCAGGCTGCAAAGCTAGGCATGTACGGCCCAATGACTCGAAGCAGCTTTCCCTTTTATCCGTCACGACTCTTGTGCAAGCGCTTCAACGTCAAGCCTCCGCCAGACATGCCACCTGAGTTTGATGCTGGTGAAAACCACTTCAAATCCCAGACGGAGGAAGCCGTGTCTAAGTCAGCCATGGAGAAATTGCAGCACGAGTTCTTGACTAATGGTCCTGCTCTTCAGCGACCTGCCTGGATGGGGCAAACGCCCGAAGCCTCTACTCCTCCTGCTGCTGCTACAGCTACTCAAGAGGGCAAACATGCAGTTGTGGACGTGGAGAAAAACGATGCTCTATCCACCGAACGTGCCTCCGAAGATGTTTTCAAAGCCATCTTCGGAGACGATGATGACGACGAGGACTAAGCCTGGAGGACATGCCATACTTAGAACTATTGTACTCATGTAATATTCACACTACTACTGTTTTACTCTTACCGAAAGATTACTGACAAGACATGCATGCTGACCAGTCTTTGCCAATTACAAGTAAAAAGTCGTAGACATACAGCCGACGAGAAAGTGCCCATTTTCATAGTCTTCAAGTTGATGTTGAACGTAGCAGCTTTGATAGGCGCGGACGCCAGACCCAGGCGAAGAGATGGTGCCTCGGCGTACCGACACGCCGGTGCTCGGAACATGTATTCAAAACGTCATGCACTTTTTCGCGACACGAGTTTGGCTGACCCGATACTACCCCATCTTATACTGATATCCACGGCCATTTTCCAGGGCTATTACGATGATGCGTAGTGCAGCTTTGACACTCTTCATATAGCAATTGAACATTTGAAGGCGCGGCAATGTCAGATGGCGGAAAGCGCTCGTCGTCTTACTGTAAGTGCAGAGGCATTGGGCGTAATTGCTATTGCATTTCAGGGACCGGTGGGATCATAGTTGTTAATAAGCAATGCAGTCCACTTTTTCGCTGGATTAAACTCAGGTGTTCTATCTGCAGTCCTTCTCCAACCCGCCGACCTCCTCAAGACCCGCGTCCAACAATCGCGCTCGAGCACACTTTATGGAACCATCCAGTCGATAGCCAGCGGACCGAACCCGATACGTCAATTCTGGAGGGGTACACTACCGAGCACTTTACGCACGGGATTCGGATCTGCCATATACTTTTCGAGTCTCAATGCATTGCGGCATAGGGCGAGTCTGGTCGCAGCGGGCAGCGGCGATGCGGCAGTGAGGGGAGCGGAGCACTCAAGCTCTCTACCAAAACTGAGCAATACCGCAAATCTGGCAACTGGTGCCTTCGCGCGGACATGGGCAGGCTTCATCATGATGCCGATTACCGTTTTGAAAGTGCGGTACGAGAGTAATCTGTACTCGTACAATTCGCTCTTCACAGCATCAAGAGACATCTTCCGAACGGAGGGACTCAAGGGCTTCTTTGCTGGTTTCGGCGCAACAGCCGTCCGCGATGCACCATACGCGGGGCTCTACGTTCTATTCTACGAGCAGTCGAAGAGGAAGCTTTCCAGTCTTGCAACCAAGATTGAGGAAACTTCCGGCACATCCACCAAGCTTTCTTCCAGTACATCCGCAGGCATCAATTTTGTTTCTGGTGTTGCAGCCGCAGGGCTGGGAACGACTGTCACGAATCCCTTCGATGCCATCAAGACGCGGATACAATTAATGCCTGACCGCTACGTGAATATGGTACAAGCAAGCAAGAAGATGCTTGTGGAGGAGGGTCTACGGAGCTTGTTCGATGGACTTGGTATCAGGATTGCGAGGAAGGCAATGAGCAGTGCGCTTGCCTGGACTGTGTACGAAGAACTGATTCGACGAGCGGAGAGCTTGAAAGAAGTCGTCGAGGAAAAAATATGATCATGAAGCATACGATGTTTGCATAGCTGGCGTTGGCCGGTGCTGAAAATTGGCTAGATACCTCTCCGCTCACATTGAGTTGTTCAAACGAAATGACGATCTGCTGTCAATGTCTTCCGCGGAATGCCTATATGGTCCAGATTCGCAAGGTCCGCACCATCTGCAGCAAACCATATGTTAGGCCATCCAGACCGCCGATAATGAGTGGTAAGTTGTGGCTGAACTTGGACTATGTCTATGCGGGACGATCTTGGGGGCAGCTCTAACCGAAAACGCCCATCCCGGACACATGAAGGCTTACTCCGATGAAAGCTGGAAGTGGTCACAACACCTCGGTGGGTCGCACGCGAGCGTCACTGTTTCATGAGGCGCTTCTCGTGCAAATATGTGTCTTGGAGCGTATAAAGAGGGAAATATGCAGGTAGCGAAAACGTACAAAGCGATGACATCCAACGATTTTGGGAGATAACAGCACTGTAAGGCCGACCAATTTCACCAAGCTGTCACGGTGTTGCGACCCCCGCGGCTAAGAGAGGAAAGAGGTCTTAAGCGCCTTGGTTAGTATACCAGTTTTCGACGTGCCCCACCAAACCATCACCATCTCGCGCCGCTAAAGACTGAAGGATGCAGAACAAAATGGTCGCAAACATCGCACACGACAGCATTACAACGTCGCAGAGCGGAGCGCGGGTGTGTGGACGGCAGTCTGGACTGACGCCCGCAGATAGACATGCACCACAGGCTGATGTGTGTTCAGCAGACCCGCGCATGAGAAACCCCGGCCTCAGCCCTGGCGGCAGCTGCCTGATGACTAGCTGCATCGCGAGCATTTCAGCCCCCAAATGCACCATGAGGGCGGGTTCCTTCAAATTCCACTGCAGCCGCACTTTCGTGCTGACAATTTCTTGCGTTCTTACGTTATCTACTGTTTGATACCGTGTCACATCTGCTTCTGTGCCGCCCCTCAGTGTCTGTTCCATCACCCCGCCCTGCGCCGTTCACGCCGCAGCTGAGACCAGACACAAAGAATTTGAATTGATTGCTCTGTCTTGTGATCTCTTTATCATTGAACGGTATACATACTTTGTTTGAACCTCCTCGAATTCCCAACTCATACGCCCACCATGCCGCTGGCAAAGGAGTGGGACAGTTACGAAGAGGACGAGTGGTATTCCAAAACTACGAAGGACCACCTGAACATCCGTCATGTTCATCCTCCAGCATCCAAAACCCCGCCCCGGAGAACTGTGGATGATGCGCATTATCGTCCCGACTATGCTCGCCACACAACCGAGTACCTGGCCCCAGAAGTGCATTACACGACCGGTCTCCATAGGACCCGCTCACAAGGTCACGCGCCCGCCCCCAATGTGACAATCTACAACACCAGTCACTTGGACAATGATAGCCGACCAGTTTTGCGCTCTGAGCAGAAGGGCCCAGAGGTCAGTCGCGGTCGACGCGAACAGAAGATGCCTGGTGCATTTGAGGATTTGGAGGATGAGATCGCTGGGTTGAGGGCAGATCTAAAGAAGGAACACCGTTCGCGCTCTAGGCACGAGTACCATGAACGCCAACGCTCTCCAGAGCCCAACTATGCGGACAAGATCAAGTTGACACTCGCTGAGCAACGCCTCAAAGATCTTGAAGATAAGCTTGAGAGAGAGCGGCAGGAGCGATACCATCATCACTCTCCAGACCGTAGCTACGAGGACAAGATGAAACTGGCGCTCGCGCAACAGCGACTACGAGACTCTGAAAAAGAACTCGAGAGGGAAAGACGTCATCATTCGCCAGATCACGGCTACGAAGACAAGGTGAACTTGGCACTGTCGCAACAGCGACTCCGAGAAGCTGAAGAGAAACTCGAAAGGGAACGACGAGAGGAGGAAATGGATAGACGGGCGGAACTGGTAAGACGCAGGGTGGAGCTTGACTTCATCCAGGATAGAAGAGAGCGCGAGGCAGAAGAGGATAGGATCAAGAGGGCAGAGGAGAGTATGCGTCGCGACTGGGAGCTGCAGCGAACGAAGGAAGAACGAGATCGCGAACGACGCGAGGTCGAAGAAGAGAAGAAGCGTGCTTCTATCATCGCCGAAAACAGGGCAAAGATGTCTAGAGAGCAAAGAGAGGCCGAAGAACAACGCGACAGGCTTCTGGCTAAACTAGAAAGGGAGCAGAGAGATCAGGAGGACGAACGCAAGCGGATTCTTGCTGAAAGCAAGATGAAGCAAGCCAGAGAGCAACAGCGGGCCGAGGAGGAACGTGAGAAGCTCCTAGCCAAGATAGAGAGGGAGCAAAGGGAGCAGGATGATGAACGCAAACGAATACTTGCTGAGGCCAAGTTAAAGCAAGCGAGGGAGCAACGAGAGGCCGAGGAACAACGTGAGAAGATCCTGTCTGAAATGGACAAGAAGAAAAAGCGAGAGCAAGAAGAACGCCAGCGCATCATCGACGAGAACACTGCCAAACTTGAGAAGGAAGCGCGTGAGCGTGAGCTCAAGGAGAAGGCCATGGAACAAGAGCGCAAGCGCATCATCGCCGAGAACGAAGCCAAGGTAGCTAAGCAGGCCCAAGAGGCAAAAGAAGCTCAAGAGCGTGCTGTCCAAGAGTATCAGCGAAAGAAGGCCAAGGAAGAGGCCGAAGCTCAAGCAGAGCATGACCGTATCATCTTCGAGTACGAGCGTAAGAAGGTCTTGGATGCCGAGAAGGAAAAGAGGGCACGAGACGAACTCATGATGAAGATCAGACTTGAAGAAGAAGCAAAGAAGCAGAAGGACAAAGAGGAGTACGACGCCTTTATGCGAAAGCAAAAAGCACAAGAAGAAGAGGACAAGAGGAAGAAAGAGGAACAAGAGAAGGAGCTCGAAGAGACGATGCGCAAGAGGCTCTCTCAGTTCGGCTTCCAAGATAACCAGATCCAGGCGCTTGTCCACCCTGAGAGGGAAAGACACCTACAAGCAGGCATGATGCCCAACCATCCCATGCATCAAATTGCACCTCCCCCTCCCCCACCTCCACAGCACCACCATCACCATCAGATTGCCATTGCACCTCCACCGCCGACATACGCCAAGATCCACAGGAGTCATCTTGATGTTGAGACGCTGCACTACTACGACATCCCATATGAATACGATGTGGTAAGTCTTGACCAACTGACATGATGCGAAATCAAGTGCTGACAATTGCGGTAGAACCCAGAGTACATCATCGTCCTCCGGGAAATGTCCCAACGCGAGACTGACATTCTCTTCGAGCACACTCGTCGTCTCCGCACCGGCCATGGTAGCAAGCTGTTCATAGAATCAGAGGGTCGTGATAGCAGGGGCAAGAAGGAATACGCTTTTGTGAGGAAGAAGTCTAGGTCTCGCTCCAGGAGTGTTGTTGGTGCCTCGTCGTCAAGTAGGACGAACGTCAGCTTGGGGGAGATGTTCTTCAGGTAGGATGAGATTGGGAAGGGCTGTGCAAGGACGGGTTTCGCTGGTCAGTGAGTGTCTGTGTGGTGTTGGATTTTACGATTGCTCTTTTCTAAGATATACCAATCCTCCCTCCTGTCTTGGATACATTTACATAGGTACTTCAGCTCAGTCTCTTACTCTTGTTTGGATAGGCGTTTGACTTTTTTCGGAAACGCGACCACGACATATGCAATACGTTCTATCTCAGTTCTCTGCAGCAATGTGTGCCATCTTGTGCGTGTTTGTGCGTCTCAACGGCTTCGAGCTCTTCACCGGTCTTGTGCTACCTCATCACAGCTGTCCACTGACGGAAGAGAGCGTGTTAAATTTTAAAACTATTCCGGCATCATGCCGTGCGACGCACGTATGGGAGATGCGATTCCGCCGGTCGCGGTCCAAAGGGTGACAAGAGAATGGCGGAGCACGTGCTTGTTCGTCATGGCTGTCGCTGGCATCTGACGCGTGGGGCGACGTTCGGTCCGTATTAGTGAGTGAGCCTCGGCTTCTGATCATGGTCGGGACATGACGAGCAGTCGCCGCAGCTCAACTCTCCGACAATCTTCCTCACACTTCCTTTAGAGCATGCGTTGATACCCCTCGTGCTTTTGTTCTTATTTGATTCAATATGGCCGACGCGCTTTGCGGGCCTTCCAACGCCCTTCAGAATTTCCAGAAACATACTACCGTCGATCGGACACTGCAACAGGATCGCCTGGTCGGCAGACATTCACCAGCCCAAGTATGTAATCAAACCCGAGGCTTGCATTTGCACAATCTAACTGACAGCAGGGCTTCAGATCATCACCGGGACTAAATGCAGGCGCACTAGACTCCGAGTTCGATGCATTTCAAGCCGGTCGACCAGTGCCGGCGCACGACTTCCAACACTTCGATCCGCGATTCGCACAACCTCCTCCTCCTCCTCCTCAGTTTGCGCAATCCCCACAGGCACCCGACTGGGCTGCTGACTTCCAGCGCTTGAACGTCAGCAGCCCACCTCCACAGACGTTCCAGCAGCAGCGACCGCAGCCAGCGAACGCGGCATCAGCATGGCATCAGGACTTCCTGAGGCAGCAGGCCCCGGTCGCGCAGGCGCCTGCCTTGCAGCAGAACACATATGGAGGCATGTCGGGATATAACATGGGTGGATTCGGTGGACAGGCATACATGCAGACACCGAATTTCCAGAACGCCCAGGTATCCGAGGTTGCACAAGGAAAGCAGCGCGCCCAAGACGACGTTCCCGCCTTCGACGAGGCGGCCTTTGAACGAGCGTTTGCGCAGGCGCAACAAGACATGATGGAGGTCGCAGAAGCAGAGCAAGTACACACACAGCCAGCGCAAGAGGCGCTGGACCTAGACCGGCCGGGTGAGATGGATCCTCTTCTTCAACGGATACGAGAAACGCGGCCAGGTGTGTAGTGTCCGTCAAACATGCTACGAGTGCTGACTGTGTCTCTAGCTGTCTACTCTGCCATCCAGGTCTGGAGCGAAACTGGTCTCGGACGAACCGACGAAGCGGTAACATACCTCCAAAACATGGAGAACATGGAACGGACCGGTACTTTGGTGCAAGACGCAAACGAGGGGAGATGGATCGTCGACTCTCTGCAAAGAATTGTAAATCGCGACGCCCCTCAGGAAGTCAAGACCCGAGCCGAGAAGCTCATCACGGCAATCAACCAACGCCTCATGTCACAGTACCCACTGGGCTCACGGGTGCTGATGAGCGAAGAGCAGATATGGCAAGACCTGGAAGCAGCAGGCTACATGAGGACACCAGAGCCGATAATGCAACGGATGGAGCAAAGACCTGAGGAAGAGCAGAAGCAAGAACAACCCCCGAAGAACGACGATGACGAGATGGCGGCAACAGCAGGTCGACTGCTAGAGCGCGTTGCAGACAACACAAGCGAGAAGTTTCAAAACTCCCAGTTCCTCGGGCTCATGCGTCGTCTACGAGACCGTGAAGTAAGAGTGCAAGAAGACAAGATTGTCGAAGTCGATGGGGCCCAACAGCAGACTGGAAACACCACGTCCACAGCACAGGTCAACATCCACCAACAACCATTGTCACAATTCCACCAACAACAACAACCTCCATCCACAACGCAAATCCCCCCAATCGACCCCACAATCCTCTCCCACGCGGCCACCGACTTCGAACAACCAATCTATTCGGGCGATGAACCACCACAGTATGCCCACACTCCTCCCCTAGCACCTATCAGTGAGGAGTCCCTAATAACTGATGAGATTTCAGAACAATATAGATACTACAACATTAATGCCGCGTACCACCGCTGAGGGGGAGACTACACTGCGGATACCACGTCACGAGCAGGATGAAGATCTATATCGGAATGAAATCCCGGGGAGGGACCCGGTGACGCAGGTTAGGGGCTCTGGATAGGCTACTTCATGAAGAAGTGATGGGCACGGCAGAGTACGAAGGTCTGTGCGACTCCATCTAGAGCACTTGGGCGTTTGAGGAGGGGGGTTTAAGCCCTATGGTTGGGCTGGATCATTGAGTCAAATCATGGTGTCAGAAGATTTGCACCCTGATGCAGTGCACAGAGGGAGCCTGTTTATCATGAGTTTGACTGGCATTGCCTGCGTATAGAAGAAAGCATGATTTCTACACCTCCAAGCTACTTTCACTTTACTCGTCCACGTGTCCTACTCCTCTCACACCAGTGCCTTGTACTACTTACTCTACCTTTCCTCCCTCTTCTCCCTTCCATCCATCCTCAGGCACCCAAATCCCCACCCCCTTCTTATCTAACCTCATCCCTTCCGTTCCCTGCACCTTCAACGTCTTGTTAAAGTAACGGTCCGTGACCTTTAGGTTCGGGGTAATCCAATCGCCCTCCACATTCGACAGTAAATTGTATCGCACAGTCTGTCGACTCATAGGCAACAGATGCAAAGTCCGTAGTTTAGGTCCGCTAAAGCCAAAGTCCTCGCTAGCTTCCATGGCAAGTTCAAAGGTGAGGAAGTGCATAGTCGGATTCTCGAGCACATAGTCGAGGTGGATGAGTGAGAGGATCGTGGGTGAGAGGTGGGAAGAAGCGAGGACACGAGGTTCAGAAGACGGGATTTGGATGCGTGGAATAGGCAACGAGGACGTGACTGGGGAGGCAAGTGGATCGGAAGTGCGTTTCCATGTGATGTTGAGAGTGGTGTCAAGAGCGGTCGAACGACGTTCTTCTAGATTATTTTTTCGGATATCCAGGCTGAAGCCCCATTCGCTGAGGATCTGGGGTTCCATGGCTGTTTCTTCGATATTAAATTCCTTTGTCACGTCGCAGGTTGCGCCGCCGTGGATGCTGTGTACTTCGACCGCTAGGTCGCTGACAACAAGCTGTTCGTCGGCAAAGGACGCGACTTTCGCTCGTAGACCCCATTTCTGTGCTATACCAAATGCATCAGGCGACTCAGGGTTGACGTTGCTTTCTGCTTCTTGTAGCTCGAAATAGCTGGGCCATGGATCAGGGTGTACACGTGCGTTTAGATCATAACTTGCTTCGAAGGGAGCGTTGAATACGAGATCTGCGACCATGATCTTGGAGATGGGTATATCGCGGTCGCTGAGGACATGATATAGCACTTTGACTTCCAAGGCATAGTCTGCTGGATCCGCAGGTGCAGTGAAGCGAATCCTCTCCGTTGTTCTTGCTCCTTGGGCTAGTTTTCCCACTACATGCCCTGGAAGATCCACATCCGTAGACCCGTCGAGCGCAGGCGGAACCTCCTTCATTGGTGACTCTGCTGGACGCTCGAGCCATGTATAACTCAGAGTATCTTTGGACCGGCCCAGTAGTCGCACCTCGAGAACAGCCTCAGTGTCTTCCTCTTCTTGGTTCAGAATCTCTATTGCCAACGTTACTGACTCATCTGTGTAGTACTGATTGCGAACGTCCGGCAAATTGATCTCCATCTTGGGCGGTTTGGGTAGTATGTGAACAGACATGCCAGATCCATGTTTCAGCGATCTTGACTTGATTTTGGCATCTGACTTGATCCACCACATGGGACGAGTTGGAGTTTCCGGGTCCGTGTCTGAACAAGCAAGTTCAAACTTTTCTGTGGTTACACCGAAGACGCATGCCGCAATATCGACATCTCCCGACTCACGGAGGACAAGTGGGAAGCTGTACACCTTTGTCTGCCCAGGGTGGAGCGTCAGGTCAGCTGTTCCAGCCCAACGTGGTTTTCCAGTAGCGGAATGGGTTTCCTCTAACGTGCAAGAGTACATTGTTGAGGCACTCCCGGAAGAATTTCCATCGGCATCATGAGTCAGCCGGACCTCAGCCAAGCCTCCGTTGAACTGGTATTGTATGAACGACAAGGTGACTGGAGCAGAACCTGGTCGAGCATTCGAGGTCATTGCGAGCTGTGAGCGTAGTGGTTCACCCACATTACCCTCTGCTTCGGCAAAAGCAAAGCTTGTTGACACTGCCATATCAGTGTTGCGTCATTCTGACAAGAGTTCCGTACTTACAGGGAGATATGTGGTCTTTGGCATTCAGACTCACGCTCACCTTGTCAGCTGCTGCGTCTGAGAATACGTCCAGACATGTCATCAAATCGTATTTGTATTTTGTCTTGCCAGGAATTGCTGGTTGATGTTAGTCAGTGATGTTATACAGAGAGCAGAAGAATACCAACTTTGACTGTAAAGTTCCCATTCCGTTGCAACATATGTTTCTCGGTCTTGTGTTCGCAGCGCACATTCATGTAGGGCCCATACTACTTCTGAGGCTAGGCTCCACCAACCTTCTTTTCGCCAAGCCATCGTCTCCCAGAGTGGTCGTAGTACTTTCAAGGCATCGTCAAATTTCCTTACGTGTAGCAGTGTCCGAGCCACCTCAAGTTGCATCTGGTCTACCTTCCGATGCTGTCCCCGAGCCTTGAACTCGGCGATCGCGTCGTTCAGCTTGGCTGAGATGTCTTTCCAATGCTCAAATCCATTACCAATACCTGGGACCGGGTACTCTTCATGCGGATGCGGTACGAGATAGTGATCGTATATCTGGTTCCGAGCGGAAACTTTAGCAGCAGGCGACATTCCCGGCGGCGTTCGGTCCTCTTCTGGCATCTCCCTGGCAAGAATGTAACGCTTCTTTGCATGATCACTGGCAATCTTATGCCAATATCCAGCATGATGTAGCAATTCCCATGGCGGCAGTCTTTCTCCCACTGGAAACTGTTTCTCGGGCTGAGAGTACAACGCACCCGGGAAGTCTATCAAGGGATCTGGATCTGACGAAGGATCCCTTATCTTGAAGATCGGCAATTCTGTTCGCCTAACAATCTCAGCCATGGCTTGGGCCCATGTAGACTCCCAGGCTTGCCAACCGTAGTTATTACTACCCTTGCCCCGGCGATCGAGCACGTCTTGTAGTCTGTACTTGTATCTCAACCATGACTGGACAGCGGAGGTAGGGAAATTGTTCCATAGCTGGCACCGAATGTGTCGCAGTGCGATGACATCTGCTAACAAGCGGATCTCATCCCACCGTGGAGACCAACTCGCCGTGGTTTCAAACAAGCCTTCGGCACCGAACAAGGCTTCCAAAGCAGTACTGTAGTGCCGCTGCGCAGCATCCATCTCCTGGCGGAATTCGGCCAGTATACCCAGCTTGAAGTCATAACGAACACCCCACCCGGGATATGACAGCGTTTGTGATGTTCCGCGTGTAGGTGGAGCTGTTGGTGGAGGGATCGTGCCTCGTCCCTTCTTCCTTCGCGCATGCTTGGTAAGGTCTCGGTAGTATTCGACGCAAACGGGTTGCAGTATGGCCAGAATGGATGTAACGAAGGCTTGGAGTTCGACACGCGATGTTCTTGGAGGCAAGAAGAAGAGCGAATTTTTTGGATCCAGGCCAGTAGCCCGCCGTATCACGGCCAATCGATCCTCGATATCTGGCGCCTCGATGATGGTCTTATCACTCAGTAACACGACGACGTATCTTGTGCGATAGTCCGACTTTTGTATCTGACCCTTGATCTTGTTGATGTCCGTCTTCAGCTGATTATCGTGCAGGCTGTTTGTGATGGGATCAGTGGTGAAGTTGAAGAAGGAGATGAATACGGAGGGTACGTAGTGCTGGTGCTTTGCGACCCAGGCAGGAGCGATTACACCGTCGGGGAAGGAGGGAGATGCTGGGGAGAGGGGTGATATGGGCGAATGCAGGACCCACGATGTCGCGGCTGCGATTGTGGGGCTGCCTGGAGGAGTTGTTTCGGAGTTTGAGGGCGCATCTGCCTTTTTCGGTGGCAGTTGGAAGTTCTAGCAAACATCAGCCCATGGCTCCTTCCCGTGGCATGTTCGCAGGCGCCTGTACCCTTCCTACACTCCGTATTCTGAAGCCATGTGTGATGCCTCGACGGCTGAAGTCGCGCGCATTCCAGGGCGCGCTGGTGCCGTCGGCGCTCAAGAACTCTTGGAGTAGCTCATTTGCGCGGTCGCCATCTACGGGCGGGATATCTGAGCTGATGCTTGTGACAGCTCGACCAGGAAGCACATGTTGGACCGATGGAGGGGGGTCGACTTCTTTGCTAGTCGCTAGGCCCGAGAGGACAATAAAGGGTAGGTTATGGACTACAAAGTCGGATGGGTATGCGTCCATATCTCTACGCGCGCGCAAGTTATCGCTCCATGGGGACAGTGGCAGCTACAGTGGGGGAGGGCGGCGGAGGTGGTGCGGAATGGGATTTGCTCGTCGCACGCAAGACAGCAAAGCCGGGTGCAAGATTTGGCACAAGTCGTCTCGAATTGGCGGAAGTAGACGTGTTTGTGGGATGTGAAGACACTGTCAAGACTGCTGGCGGGTCTATGTCATGGGCCGTCGACACATGCCTAGGTGTGCTAATCGCGGGAGGGATGACGCTAGCCTGAACCCTGTCATGGATGTTCTCTCCGCCGAACGATTCCTCCACACAGGCACGAGCTCTCCAACACTTCACATCCATACTCTAGCAGTCCGGCCTTGTCTTCACGCGTCTTCTTACCCCGAAAATACCCCCAGCCGCGCGACACGCTGTTGTACTAGCTGGACGCGCATATATCCACACTTGGTCTCTCCACCCACTTTCCGCTCGCGCTGGCCAGACGCCGTCGACGCCATGGCGGGCCAACAGCAGCAGATACTGGATACCATCTTCAGCATGAAGAGGAAGATGCTGAAAAAAGACGATTGTAGGGCTGCATGTACCTCCACACAGTGCTCAGCTAACACGGCGCAGCTGACACAGAAGATTCCGAGACGCCTTTCAGTAGCAACAAGCAGGATTTGAGGCGCAAAGTCCATTATGCGCGCGCTAGCGACCCAGACTTCCTATCTGACCCGCGACCCTACAAGAAGGTGCGTTTCGAGCTATGCTACGTGGGCGCCCATCGTAGACTGACGCCTCCTAGCGCATTGAGCATGCCGGCTACCACAGGTCTATCTTGCAGCGCAACCCTCCGCGATACGATCCGGACGGCGATATTGTCGAAGTCGACGACGAATACGAGGACGAGGAGGACGTGGAGCCTGTCGAAGAGAATCCATATGGTAACATACAGCTGGAGAGTCTTCTTGCGCCGCTCACCTCTGCCGCCGACCTACCCAACCATCCTGCCCTGAGCGTGGCATACTCCTCTCGACACCTCACGGAACTCGCGAACGAAGCCGGCGCTCTCTCGCGAAAAGAGCACGTCACCAACGCGCGGGCAAAGACTTTGTTCGTAAAGCTTCAGGGCGACTCTACATTTGCGCCAGATGCTCTGTCGGCTATGGGCAGAGCGCCCTTCCAAGAGTCGTGGATCGATGGCGCAAACGGACACGCGGAAGAAGAAGAGCAGCAACAGCAAACTCATGATGCTGAAATGCAGGATACCTCGGAAAGTCCCCATGACGTAGACATGGAGGATGCAGGTCAGCCAAATGGCACTAGCCGAGAGACCGAGACCAACGGCGAGAAGGTCAATGGCGCACATCCTGTAACAAACGGAACCCACATTGGGGACGCAGAGCAAGCGCAAGAGAACGGAGAAGGAACACCCGACGATGCGTCTGATACCGCGTCGCAACAGACGGCGCATCGGATGACGACTCGAAGACGAGCTCAGGCGGCAGCCTCCACCCCTTCCCCACCTCATTCCCCTTTGAGCGGTGTTGGCGCAATACATCCTCACTTTATACACCCCTCAGACTCACTGCCGGATCGCGACTTTGGTCTCCCACCCAGCGAGGCCGAGGAAACGCGCATGCTTCTCATGGCTTATGTACAAAAGCAGGAGGAGGTTGCACGCATAACCTCAGATCTGTATCAAGGTCTATTGCAAGCCGACCGCATGCGGCAAGATGTTTATAAATGGTCCAAAGCGGAAGCACATGTAGGAGAAATGAGCGATGGCGAGGACTGGTATGACAATGAAGAGTGGGGTCTCGAACAGGATCTTGCCAAGGGCCGGGACGAAGAGGAAGATGATACAGCTGTGGCTGGCAAGAAGAGTACAAGACAACGGCGGAAGCCTGACAAGGATGACCGGTAGTCCCCATTGCGGGAGCAAAGGTGGCCCATCGTCACACTTTCTGCTTGTTTATTGCATGCACAGCGAGATACCACATTTCTAGGATATGGAATGGACAAACTTCATACTGGGTTGGGTTGCTCTTGCCTCAGTGAGCCGTCCACGTGTTACCGCGTCAACATCGTGCTTTCTCCACCGTCCAAACTCGAAGCTTCCTACACCTCACACCGTCAGTTCGCCATGGAGTTCGTTCTCCGGTGCAACGACCTGAAGTGTCGAAAGCGGTTGCACGAGCGTGCCGTAGTCACCACTTGCAGGTTTGTCCACCTCACCTGCTTCTAGCCCTTCGGCCGCTGACGACTGCAAACAGTCATGTCTTCTGCAGCGATTGCGCGGATACTACTGGGCTGTCGAGGTCTACGAATGCGCATCGAACTTGTCCAGCATGTAACGCATCGCTGCACAACCCTGACGACGTAGTCGTTGCAGGCCTCAGCCCATCGGAAGACTACAAGACGTCAGTACTCAGTGGCCTGAGTCCGACGATCATCATGGAATGTGCGAGCCGCGCTTTGGCTTTCCATAGCTATCAGACATCACAAGAAATCATATATCAAGAGCATCTCGCGAAGGGCTTGACTGACAAGTACGATACGCTCAGCCAACAGATGGATCAGCTCATCCATGATGCAAATGCGCAGATCAAGGCATTGCAGGACAAGATGCAGGGTACATCACGCCCTCACCCTATCTACACACCTCGTACTTACAGTTGTGCAGCTATGCAAGCCGAACAAGAGGCTCTCGAAACCAAGAACTTTGAACTTGCGAAAGCTTATAAAGAAAAGACCATAGCGCATCAACGAGTCCAGAATCACTACCAAGCACTGAAAGGGCAGGTCAACTTGACCCACGTAGCCCGGGCCGCTGGTAACGAAGCCGCGCATACGCTCCAGAATGCTCGAGGAGATCGTTTCATTGACCGTCTTCCCGGCACACGGACGGGAACGGCCAACTATAGTCAGATGAACATGTCCCACCAAGTTGGCGGCGGCAGGATGCACAACAGGGATTTCAGCAGGAGTTCTGAGAATAGTGGACGGCTTCAGCAGAGTAGTATCCACATCGGGGCCCCATTGAATCCATCATTGCAAAGACGGGTTCTAGGTGGCAGGAACAATATTGGTCGTGAGTTGACCCCCCTCGAGTTGCATCGAAAGACCCCAGGGGTATGGCTACCTTGAGAGCATTACACGCTAACGAAGTGAAGATTCTGCTCCAGTCGGGACGCCTTCACAAGCCCATAGAAGTCAACTTCCGGTCCTTGGTGGTTCACGTCAGCCCCCATATTTGAGCCAAGATATCGATTCCTCATACCACAACTCGCCTGTCCCCAGACAGCCTGTTGCCAGTGGTCTTGGTCCGCGAGGCTTGGGCAACTTTTCGCTTGGAGCAACGTCATCAAGGAGGGCTGGCGGTGCTAACAACATTGGGCCGCTAGGACGCTAAGCTTGAGAACACTTACTCGTGAACGCCACAAATGAGGGTTAATAACCGACTATGACCGAGAAGTAGTTGGCCACCGCGTGTGGCAATGGGGAAAAAAGTCTAATCCCATATTCATCTACTCTAGTATCGCTATAAAACATGATAATATCACTTATGGAAGGATGTGTTGTTTATCTCCTATATTGTGCTTTTTGAGCCTAACTGTTTCTTCGACACTTTCATCAAACGTAATTTGATAAAGATCCCAGACACATGGACATGGTATAAGCGATGATCCGTTGGTCACTTCTTCTCCACTATCAATGCAGAGCGTCACTCAGACTTACGAATCCCTTCACTTGGCACAGCATTCTCAGATATGTTTAGTGACACTCCAGGACGTCGGCGAGGCAGACTCAGGCGTACCACGTTTCTCCACGTCTCCAGGCCTCCAGTCTCGTATTGTGCAACTGAATGTTCTCCACGACGCGGAGATATCCGTCTTAGGCGTTCAATCTTCACCCTCAACAACTAGGTAGAGCATTGGAGGACATAGCCGTAAGGCTGACTGCTTCGGCGCCGAAAGCAAGGTCTTCTGGTGTTTGCGTAGCTTTTCTTGCAAAACAAAGCGTTGATCACGGACTTCGGCATACAATGTACCCACAACCTACACGCGGGACTGATGTAAATGGAATCAAGTGCATCCTTCGGATCCTGGATGAAGGAACCGTTGGTCTTGGTATGCTTGTGCTAACGCCATTATAGAATTACTGATAGCAATCATGGAGCAGTTGATCGATCGCGACGAGCTTTGATAGAGGGAGTGGGTGAGGCTAGAGAGAGGGAACAAACATATAAGTAGGTCACGGTAATCCGAAAGATATAGGGACATCCGCATCAGCGACAGCCTCCCACTCAGACTTGTCACTCTCAGTATTAAACGCACTATCGGAATATTTGCTCCTTGTCCAGCTCCTGCTACTCCTAAGATAAGGACTTCACAGCTCGCGGTACTTCCCATCTTGGGTCTTTTGCCTGCATCTACCGTCGCAGACTTTGTCATTGGAAAATACTCTGGTCAACAGCTTGGTGGTACTTTTCAGACACCAGGACAGCTAGGAGTGACAGGGACGTGGATTAGTACAAGTAAGTCTGATCGCTATCACCGGCCCAACACACAACAACACGGAAGTCCGTCTTACCACTTGGAGCCATCGTCACTAACCACCTCTTTCCCACAGATATCCCCGGCCAAGATTCCGGCTTCACAACCTCCGACTTCTGCGACGCAGGCACTTCGGCGGACGCTAGCGTCGACGAATGGAAGGACTGGACCAACAATGACTTCTGCGACCTAGAAGTGCCAGGGTGCCCCTCCACTATGCGCATCGTCAAGTCCGCGGGTTCGTTTTCTGGAGACTGCGGTGCCGAGGTGAACAACGCGGACTATACGGGCGACTATGGTGTCCTAATCGATACGGTTACAAGCCCCAATGCGGCGATTGGAAACTGTTACTACGCGGGCGGGGATCTGTATGAGAATTGCGCTAGTACAGGAAGTGTTTACTACAACGCGCTTGTCGTTTGTCTTACGGGGGTTTGTGGAGGCGTGTTGGAGAGTGAGTTTAACCCTTAGGTTCAACCGGGGTTAGAACGACTGCCAAAGTCCATCTCAAAGTGGCTGCAATCAAATTTTCAATATATAAGCGCGGGCTAAGAAAGACAGATGGAGGTTTGAGGGTTTATGAGTGGGGGCGAGAATCAAAGACGAGAGCGGCGGCTTGGTACATGGTAGCCAAGGTACAGCACCACATACCCTTACGAGTGTTTGCATTTACAATCAGAAGTCCATCAGAATAGATTTCCTGGATTGCCCAAGTGAACTGGTGGCATCGGCTAGCAAAACCGTTCCGATCCTTGAAGATTTTCAATATAATGATGAGCCTCTCTCTACACATTTCTGATGTGTCTATCTAGATATAACCTAATCCCATCATCGTCATCATTTAAGTCATCCAACCGTATGGGTTTATCCGGTATGCGTTCAACGACGTAGATCGTATTTCACTGGTGCTTGGCCGAATAGTGAATCAACGATTGTATGTAAGCCGCTGCCACCGTAGGTAGGCATACGCCATCTGACTGTATTGTCTCGTGAAGGGTACTTATGACTGCGCGAATCGCAATGTATGCATGATTAGACTAAATCGGGTTAATGATTGTACGTTGAAGTCGTCTCATTGCCTTACCTGGATCTTGGTTCAGTCGAAACCTTCCTTCTGCAGCGTAGCCAAGAGGCCCTTATAGTACTTTGAGTTAGTTCGCACAAAGCTCATGACCCATCGAGTTGCCTTATTCTAAAGCATCTCGGATCTGCGTGGACGTCGACTGCAGTCCTCCGCCACGAATAACCCACCGAAAATCTACAGAGTATCGCGGCAGCCGTGCATTTGGCCTCTAAGGGATCTACGAAGATCTCTACGGGGTTTGTTCTGCATGGCCGAGCACAAGTCTGCCGAGCAGGTGGATCGGGGGAGAAGACGAAGTGTAGTAGCTGGTTGACAACGATATGTCTGTTCGTGTGCTCGACGTCGCAGACATGGTCATATATAGTGACATTGTGTTAACTTCAACGGCGGTAGTTCAGCTAAAAGTGCTGAGTATAGTCAAGCGAGTGTGCGTGACACACCTGCCGGAACGATAACTTTGCAAAGTTTTCCTCCTATTCCAGGAGAGGTAGCCACCAGATCGCGCGAGTTGCATGACCGCAGCCGAAATAGTATGGCAATCATTTCTGTGTGAAAAACAGTTGTCGATACCACTCAGTCTGCTAAATTCCACAGCATGCGACCAACCTTGGAAGTCTTAGGTATTGCGCCGTGCCAATCGACTTCGGCGCTTCATCTCGGTAAGTAGTATGACAATGACATCATCAGGTGTTCTAGAGTCCTTGAAGTATCCACCAGAAGGTGCCAAACTTCGATTTCTTTTTTCTATGCACTGCCAACGGTCGTAGATAGGCGTGCATAATCTGGAGAGATGTCAACGGCTTTTGCAACGGTCAGAATAAAGCCACGATTAGACTCTATTAAAGCGGGGCGCACGCCACCTACGCCTCCACAGCCACGGCCCGAGCCACGTTTTTGCTGCCACAGATCCTCTCACGTACCACTATGTGATCTCATCCAGTAACTTGTGGCTTGCCCATCGTGCAGTACACCGTCAATGCTCGACGGAGGATTAATTACGTCCGATGATTAGATAGTCGCATGTATTTGTTCTATGGAAATGGTGTTCTCGAGATGGCAGAGCGCGCAAACATTCTTCGTGCCGTTGATGGCGGTGTCAGGAAGGCCACCGATAGCATATCGTGTTTGAGAGGCGGCATGTCGGGGCTGGTCCGTTTCACCACTGGGGAAAAAGTCTTGCCCGCTCAGCGTCGCGCCCAAGATTCCGCCTCAACAATGTCAAAGGATTGATTCATGCATGCCCTCTCATTTCGGTGTGCTGTTTGCCTCCTGACGTTGTTGCGCCGGGCGGGTCGTGTCTCTCAGGCTATCGACGTTCGCTGTACAGTCCAGAGCCTGTTCGAGAACAGAAGAGATACGCGTCCTCATCTCTAGAGTCGTTGTCGACGAGGTGGTGTGGACCCTTCGAGTCAGTGGGTTGCACTACAGCCTTGTTGTCAAAGTCGCATACACAAGCTTTCCCGCCCCTTGGTTTGCACGCCAAGCAATCGGCTTACGACACACCCGCATCCTTCTCTCCACTATCCTCCTGGCCGGTGCCTCAGCTGCGCTACTAAATCTCCGCTTTACCTGATTGAAATTACGCCCGGGCCTACGTGTGGAGCGAAATCGCGTTTTGACGGCAGGAACAACGCCCAAAAGCGCGCGCATTGTTAGGCGGCTCGATGTCACCGACTCCGTCACACTCATGCATACTCATAGAACTAATACACTAAACAGGTGACGACGTTGATCGCAACCAGAAGCGCTCTTGCTCCTTGTACTCAAGTAGTGACACTGAATCGTTGTTTCCACCACTCAAACACCATGCTGTCGCGCCAGGATACGTCTGGAGTGGAGAAAAAACAAGTCTGCAAGTCGTGCTATCTTGTGCTCCAATTACTAATCTCAATGTACGTTAGAGACATGGCGTCTGGTGAGATTCACTGCTATATGCTTTGGTAGTACGAAGAAGCTCTACCGACTTGACAGATGTAACCGCAACCTTCTTGGATGTCAAAAAATGTTAAACACTTTGACATGCTATAGAACACGATTAGCGTACACAACTCTCAATGCTAGGCGCACTCACACTTCTGGACTGACTTCGCGATTGGAGGAAATTCAAGTCCACTCTTTGAAACGCTTCTTTCTTGGCACAATAAGGCGAAACAGGCACAAACCGCGAGGATCACGATAGGCGAAGCCTAGGACTACCCCAGTGTGTCGTGTTTCGAACAAATGAGCATAATCGCCAAGACCAAGACCAAGAAATGTCCGACGGCATGGGGATCGACCCTCGTCTCTCCCATCTTGGTGGCAAACCATAGTTTCATGCATCCACGAGGCTGGATGGGACCATGTGGGTTCACTCTATTTGCGATCTCGCCAGACTTGCATGGTGCATGTTTCCGTGGTTCACCCGTCGGCAGGCATCGAGAAGACGTCGGGTATGGGGGTCTGCGGATTGTATAAGAGGGAGTGGAAGACGCACCCAGAAGACAGCACTCAACATCGAGCCAACAGTTCTTCACAGTCCTTCATCTTTCCAATCTTTTCACAATCTTTTGCTTGAAGCATCACATTCGCTAGTCGAACCCAACGTCACTCTCTTCATTCAACAACTATCCAGCTTTTTCAGCCCCAACTATTCCAACCATCAACATGAAGGCCTCCGTCGCTGCTTCCATCATCGCTTTCGCCGTTGCCGTCTCGGCCGGCCCAGCCAAGTCCGCTCCCATGAACTTCTTCAGCATGTCCAAGCGTGCTAGCCTTCCTATCCCAGCCTCCAAGGGCACTGAGACTCTCAAGGAGGCCCAGGAGATCACTGGTGTCTTTGACGGTGGCCTCAAGACCTACGGTCGTGGCGTCTCCTGCACTGGTCAGGCTGAGGGTGGCGACTCCGATGCCGTCTTCATCCTCAAGGATGGTGCTACGCTCAAGAACGCCATCATTGGTATGTCAATCGGTCGCTGAACATACAATCCATTCACTAACATCTTTCAGGCGAGGACCAGATCGAGGGAGTCCACTGCGAGGGCAGCTGCACCATTGAGAACGTCTGGTGGGTTGCTGTCTGCGAGGATGCTCTTTCCCTCAAGAAGGACGGTGACGCGACTGGTAAGAACTTCCCGAACACATCTGCTCTGAGCTGTGCTGACATACTTTAGTCATTGGCGGTGGCGCTACCGGAGCCGAAGACAAGGTCATCCAGCAGAACGGCGCTGGTACCGTCACTATTGACGGCTTCACCGTCGACAACTTCGGCAAGCTGTACAGGTCCTGCGGCAACTGCAAGCAGTCCGCTGAGCGCCATGTCATCATGAAGAACGTCAAGGCCTCCAACGGCAAGCTCCTTGCTGGCATCAACCCCAACTTCGGTGATTCTGCCACCATCGACGACAGCAACTGCGCCAGCTCCGTCAAGACCATCTGCGAGGAGTTCAAGGGTGTTGCCTCTGGCAGCGAGCCCGAGTCCGTCTCCACCGGTCCTTCCGACGCTTGCATCTACAAGGAGCCCCTCGCCTCTTGCTAAGCGGCTTCACCAATAACACGGATATACTCGGAGGTTGAATTGGTGGATGTTGAGGCTGTCACTGGATAGCAGTGATGTGGTGCATTTGTAGCGCTGGTAGCATAGCCTGGTGCATTCACTTCTTTCTTGTACATACTCAAAAATCGAGAACATTTGTCTCTGCATACTCTGGTTGGTCTATTATGCTGGGGAGTGTTGTGTAGAAAGATTGCACACTCTCCGCATTGACAAAGCAGGATCACTGATGACGTGGTACGAAACCATTTATACATGTCTGCAACGATGAGTCTAGGTTGTCAGTCACCCTGAAGGAACTCACGATACTATACGTTTACGGGCTACCAAGATTCAACTCAGAATATACCTCTATCTAGAGTATAAGATACACCCATCAAGATGGACCACTTCGTAGGCGTTTCACGCGGCACATACATCTTCGTTCTAGAGAATAACCCTCAAGCAGGATTGCCAAATGGTCCAAGTTAGTCCTCCTGCTCACCAAAGTCGCTCTCCTCTAATCTGACCCCGCTCAAGATCTTGCCCATGTGTGTCTTCTCCACACCCTCTCCCTCACGGCGAATCTTCATGAGCAGAGCTCGTAAAAAAGGCACGGGAGACTGTTTCAGTCCCCAGATACCAGCTGGCGGGTCGATGAAGCCATCAGCATAGACTTGTTGGCCATCTTCTGCCCTTCCTTTCAGTAGACCAAGATGATCGCATAGCTCTTGATACTCAACGATAGAGCGAAGATAGAGACTTCCAGCGAAAAGATTCAGCTGTATTGTCAAGCTGCGCGAGACTGAGCCAGATGAGAACGTACGGCCAACGTTATAAAGCATGAGTTGGTCGATCGACGGGTAGCTAGCGTTGGAGCGCGGCGCAAAGATGTGGAGCGTAGTCTTCCCCGACTGGGAGACTAGAGGTAACAAGTGGTTGGCTTCATAGGGACTGATGATCATCGCGTACTTGACGACTCCCGTATTACCAGAGTCGGGCACAGTCAGAACAAATTGTACTGGTCGTTGGTAGGAATCGGAGATGAAGGACGCTGGAGTCGACCCAGGCGGTACCTGAACAGTGTGCATGAAGTCTGCCGTAACCAGCAACTCGGTCGGGAAACTGCTCAAGTCGATGAGCTTACCCGCGCTTGTTGTATTAAGCTTTCGGAAGGCCGGTCCCCACGCTTTCGAACCGATGGCGACTTCTCCAGTGTTGACAAGGTGCTTGAGATCTGCATGAACAGTATGAACATACGCTTTCAAGCGTGGAGGACGCTCAACTTGGCGTTGCTCTTCAATTTCCGGAGCAAGCTCACGCTCCTGTTCCTCACTCAGTGCAGCTGAAGAAAAGCCCATGGCCTCAAAATCGCGGCAACGCGATACGATGTCGACGATATTCGTGTTAGACATGTCCCAGTTGCTAAGGTGTGCGGAACCATCGTCGTGCGCGCGTGGCTTGTAGCGGGTCTCTAGACTGGCAGCTTCATCCTCGAGGAAGGCTTCCGCTTGGTCTCTTGTCGTGCTAGCGCCGCTCAGTAACAAATGCTTGTGACTCTCGAAACGGCTGCCTTGAACGGCCCAGAGCGGTAGGCTCTTCTTCAGATCAGACCAGGTCTCGCCGATCGCCCATGTTAATACGTCTTGAACCTCAATCGGAGTACCGGTTGGCTTGTCAGTCCGCTCGTATATCTTTGTCCGGATCTCCTCGGGAATAACGAAGCAGACCGATTGGCCATTTCCCAGCTTTCTTAGGCGCATTGCAGCTTGAGTGAGGCGATCTTTGGTCAGTTGGCTGCCCAATGTGAGCGCGGCTCGGTAGTGTCGTGGCAATCCGGCTATGTCCGTTCCCCTCGTATGGCTCTCGTCCAAGTAGACAACACAAGAATCAAGCATTTTTGCATACGGAGAAGTCTGGAAAGATTCGACCTTGCCGGTGCGGTCGAGTACCGACAGCTCCTCGTCCTCGAAGTACAACACAGCCTCGATGTCGTTGCGGCGCAGCTTCAGCCACGTCTCCGCTACTTGCCGATTATTTTGCTCGAGAATGGAGGCTCCACAATCCAATATGACCCTGATGTCCAAATCCAGCTGCTCAATGAAAGTAATGAGATGCTCTCCATCACTACCAGCAGTGCGCACAGGTAAGTTTGCCACTGAAGTCTCGTCCATCAACAGATACGATAAGACTTGAGCGTTCGTGTGGTGCTGGCTAGGTAGATCCAGGTGTTGAATTCCGAGTGGGAGTAGGTGCAGAGTATCATTGGTACCGGAGAAGCCAGTGCTGGGGCATGGTTTCGAGATTGCTAGATCCCAGCCGCTTGCGCTGAGCTTGGAAGGGAATTGCTTGAGTTCTTTCGGAAATACTAGATACGAGAGGTAATAGTCGATAGCCTTCTTCGAATATCGTAAGCTTGGAAATACTTCCGTAATGCACTGGTGTCGGTCACGTATGCTGAGCCCGGAGAGCTGCCTGAAAGGTTTTGGGAGGTCTGAAGAGGCGGTACTGACAAACTCGTCGTAGTGTATCACCGCTTGATTAGATTTTAGTACATGTATGAGAGTGTCGAAGAGAGCATCATCGCTCAAACCAGTATAATAGAACGCGAGAAGAGTCAAAATAATGACGACATCCGGATGAGAGAACTCGCTTCTAGGCGAAGGAGCATCCTTACTGCGGTATGGGACAGCAAGGCGAGTGCTCGGGGTGCGGCAATTGTCCAGACCAAAGTTCACGCGATAGCGCTTCTGACTGTAAATGAAACGTAGTACCCCGCCTGCGAACAGACCACGTAGGAGAAGGAGTGCTGGTTTGGTCGTCTCAGTCCAGAATCTACTTTGTTCCACTGCCTCAACCTCGTGTGCTTTCAGTTCCAGCACTGTGATGTAGCGCAATAGTGCTGCTTGCATAGCGGGAGACTGAGAGCGAGAAGGACTTCCTATGCCTAAATCGACCACTCGAGACGCAAGCAGATGCAGGATTTGATCAGCAGCGTCTGATCGTAGGAATCTGACCCTCGGATACCGCCCATCTCCTTCTCCTTGTACGTCCACAGTTTCAGGGAGGTCCGTCTTCACCTGTTTGGCCACAGTCGGAATCAGCGCTAGAAGATTCTGGATGATCAACCATCGCTCAGGAGCGAGCTCTATCGACTGTTGGGAGCCCATTGTGTAGATGAGCTCGAATTTGACGGAGAAGTTCTCGTCACTCTCATCGATGCAATCACAGGACACATCATCAAACCATTTCTGGGTTGCTAGCAGTGACTGAGCGGTTTCCGACTGGTTGATGAGGACACATTCGACTGCCATCAGTTTGAAGGATAGGATGTGCTCTGGTTGAATCAACAATACACCGCGCTCGCGGATGCACTCTTCGTAAATCTCTCGGATAGTGCGGGCATCCTGGACGCTTAGCCGGAGGTTGCGTGAGAAGGGCATCTGGTAGATTCTTCGATTTAATAGACCCCCAAGCTTTGCGATGAGCATTTGTAGCATCTGTTTACTCTGAGGTTTTGCGACGACTACCCGGACAAGCTTCTTCTTGTCACTAAGGAAGGCACTGAGGATAGGCAAGATGGTTGTAGATTTGCCCCCACCCATTAGCAACTGAAGGACGATGTTCTGCCCATCCTTAGGTGATCGCATCTGACTGGCAATATACTCTTGCTCTTTCCGGACGAGTATGCCACTCTCAGCCTCGATGAGAAGGGTCTCCGGATATTGGTGTACATCCCAGTTCGAATGCCCCTCATGGCGAAGTTCCTCAATCAGATCGATTGGCTTGCCGGATAAGCGGAATAGCCTCTGAGCTCGTTGCAAGTTGGTAACGGCGAGTGCATACTGAATGATGATCTCTTTCCACGACGTTGACAGCGTGTCGAATCGGTCCCTGTGTAACTGACTGAGCCAGAATTTTGCGCAGATACGTGGTGAAGACTGCATCTGATGAGCGACTTCCTTGTTGAAAAGGCCGTTCAAAGCAGAACTGAAGGTTTCGAGGTAGTCCTGGCAGCTGTGCAGATACTGTTGCAGCAACAATTGAGCATCGGGAAGCAACTCATCGTGCGTGTTGTTAATGCTAACGTGCTTTTCAAGGGCAACACAGCTTGATCGTAGACTGTCGACGTAATCTCTCTCGCATTTCGACTTGGCTAGTAGCATGTTCCTGTGGCAAAGTTCCTCAAGCCGCTCTTTCGCCTGTGAGCGCTTTTCGGGTTTCTGTTTCCTCGAGATGGTTACTTTGGGTTCGCGAGGAGGTATCAGTAATGTGGACCCAGACAACGGAGGTGGAGTCACAGCGAATACATCCAGCACACCAAAATGACGACTAGTGTCCTTGAGGTGTTCCTTCTTTGGCGGCAAGGTGAGACTATAGCGTGCCGCCGGCACACATGCTACTGTCTGTCGTGCCATAACCGCTGATAACTGGTCGAGGTACCGCATAAACAGAAGGTTGTTGAACCAATGATCAAACCGATTCCGGATAGTCGTCATTACAGATGAAACGTTGAGGTAGGCAGCATACTTGACCGCGGATGGCACGTTGGGAGTCTGCCTTGGCCACTGATCCTTCAGATTCTTGACGAATTCTTCAATCGCCTTTGTTTTGTTCTTCTGAAATTCGGCGTTCATCCTTTTGTGATGGTCGTGTTCAGTCTCTGATTCCCGCTTTGGTAGACTTGCCTCATCAGAGTCTGTGAAGTCCTTAGTGTTGTTCGACACCGTGATCCAAGTCGCGTTCTCGTTGAAGCCGTGTCCCTGGTTTAGGTCGTAGTTCAGCGCAGTGGGTGGTTGTACCGCCGAGAGCTCTGGTAGCCTATAGGCTGCAGCCAGAGCCTGCACTATGTCCATATCCGATGTTTCAGCATAAGCCATCGTACAGAGCCATGTCACTATGTCGTAACGATTTCTGCTAGTAGCTGTGCTAGCCAAACCTCGCTGTAGGGTGCACCAATGCTTTTTGATACGCTCCGAAGCAACCCCCAGCCACTTTGAATCGTA